GAAAGGCTTTGGGTTCAATCATTGAGAGATAGGGAATCTATTGAATGAGAAATACGTACCTTGAAGGACTGAAGATGAGTTGATATGTTGGTACGTTAATTGATGAATCAGCAATTTTATTTTACTTTTTTTTTTAAAGGATCAGCAATCCCAGGAGAATTTTACAAAGTTCTTCACATTGGTACGCTTGCACAGATTAACTAGTAAAAAAAAATGATGTTTAAAAAACTGATCATAAAATAAAAATTTTATAAATAAGTATAGTATGAGTATCTGTAAGAAATAAAAAATAAGATATTTTAATTAAAATAAATTTGAAATTGGTTAAATAAATTAATAAAATTAATTTTCTCTTTAAATAAATAACTAATTATAAAGGAAAACACGATGTTAATTTATTTACTTTGTATACACTTTTGACAGCTAGAAACGAATAATTCCTTATAAGCTATGAAATTGCTAAATTAAATTTTGCTTCTAAGAACGGCTTTATCATAAACACATAAGAAACATAAGATGTTCAACGTGTATGCCTAAAAGATCTAATTATCTATTTGTCAACAATGTCGAACTTGATTGATATGGAAACTTCGTCACGTTCTTGAATAAGTAAAGGCTTGAATTTATTATATAAGAATAAATTAAAAGAGTGTTAAAAAAGTTTGTACGGAGCTTATTTGAGTTTTTGAAAATAGCTTAATATTTTTATTTTATTTTTTCAACTTGTTTAAATATTGTTTTTTGTAAATTTTATTAAAATAATTTTAAATTATTTGGTTAAATTTTATAATCAAAATTTATATATAAAAATTCATGTAATAATATTTTATTAAATAAATATTTAAATTAGTGTTTCTCCAAATATATTAAAAAAAAACACTTTTGAAAGAATATATAATATCTCTAATAGATTAAACACTTAACATCAATTTTTTTAAAAATTATAAGTGTTTATTGGAGATAATCATGTTCAAATTGAATAGAATAATTATAATTAATACAAATTTTCTTTAAATATTTAATACAACTATTTGAATGTTAAACTATAAATTAAAATAAAATAATTCCTTATAAGTTAATTAAAAAATATATATATACGTTCTAGTCTTACAACTTTAAATTAATATTAATTTAACAATAAATTTATCAATAAATATTTTATCACACAAACTTATACAACCAATTTAACAAAATCAAATCCGTTCCAATTCATGTAAGAAGTGGATAATCTAGGATATTTTTTCTTAAGCGAAAACTAAACTTGCCCTCCCTTCACAATATCCTAATCTCAGCCTCTTCTCCTTAAGCTTCTTTTCTCCCATTTTATAAAGTAATTAAAAACATAATATACACATTTTCTTGAGATTGACTATAGCGAACATGAAATTACCTAACCAAAATTAGAATTGAATGTCCAACTTCTGCCATAATAAAAGAGAATTCAAATCCTAATTTAACATCTCAATTCATTTCATTATTTCCAATTGTCAATTTGCATATTTTGAAACCACCAAATTACTTAAAGATGGAACATCTTTCAAAACTTTTTTTTAATTTATTTTTGGGGGGGCTTGGGAAGGGGGTAGGGAAGGAGGAGAGCTACTAAGGTAACTTAAGTCCTATTTGTAGTAAAAACTTTAGGATTAGGTTGCGATGAAGGTTGAACAGTAAACATGAAAGACTCTTTCAAAAATACAATAAAAAATCTAAAAGTTTGGAGGCAACTGCTCTCAACTATTGCAATTAATCGCACATAGTCTATAATAATTCAATTAGGGGTATCCTATCCTCACATATACATATGGCATAAAATATATAGAATTTATAGAAATAAATGCATTTAAATAACCTTACAAGTGAAAAGAAGTTACTACTTTATCAATTCCAAGAACACTAGAACTAAAATCAACTAATTCCGCCGTTTTCTTTGAAAAGGAGGGTTGAAAATGACCACATGCGCAGAAATGCAGGTTAACCAAACTGTAACAACATAGGAAAATAGACATATATTATGTTGAACTACGTACAAAGCATTATGGGCATTGTTAATTCATAGCATAGGAACGAGATATTCTCTTTCCCCTAGCGTCCAACATTAAGAAGCTAGCTAGTATAGGCATCAAGCAACTATTATTCCACCTTTCTTATGGGAAAAGAATTGCATTAACAAAGCCATTTCCATTTATTTAGTTACGAATAGGTTCAAAGGATGCACCCCACAACTAAGTTAAGAGGGTGGTTTGAATTTTAGGGGATACATGTATGAAGGAAAGTAGGTTGGTGTCTCCCATAAGCATCCCTTTTACCTTACTTGCTTATGGAGAGGAATGTATTGGTGTTGCCTGTTTTGTATTTTATATGTAACCAATGTAAATTATTTATTATTCTTTTTCAATTGAGGCAAGCTTGCGATTGATTGAATATCCTAAAAGGGAAACAAAAAGAAATTAAAACTAATTTGATTAGACATATAAATCTCAGAATTTCATTGTTCATTTTTGTGATGGATTGATGTTTTATGCTATTGCTTGAAAAAAAGGGGTTGAAACTCCTTAATTTACTTTACACCTTGAATAAATAATTCGTGCTTGAATATTAAATTCAATTATTCACTGTTTGTGTTTCTTTTTTCATCTACTCAATGCAGTCATGCAGCAGAATTTAGAGCGATCACTTAGCATATAACGAGCATTGAATTATTGTATACCGCTAATGGCGAAAATTTGTTGTATTTGTTTAATTGGTGTGCAATTAGTAATCATGATTTTCGTTAATTAGCTAGTGTTGCCAACTAAACCTTACGTACGTTTTACATGAGTAGTGAATGATTAGTTTTTTTTTTCAATAAGTGAGAGATTAATATAAATGAATTGTGATATTAAACTTAACAACATATGTTATGGGATCTTAATTCTCTTTTTACCGAATTAATTTTTCCTTTTTCTTTTTCTTTGCTGTAAAGTGAATTATTACTTGTCAAAAGGTAAGTGTGCAATACTAACAAAATAAATAGCTGCTTTATAAATCAATATAGCATTTTCTACCCAATATTAATTAGTAACCAATGAATATAGTACATTTGGCATTGACTGACCACAGTAACGCATCATTTTGGTTTGAATAGGGACAAGTTGACCCCGTGAATGAATGATGCATACATATTCCTTATGCAAGATCATGAATTGGCATCTCGCAAGACTACTCTTTATATATATATATATATATATATATATATATATAGTTATCATTATATATATATATTGTTTTGAAAAAGAAGAAAAGTCTAGTTTCTGTTGAAGGACACGACAATGAATTACAGTTTACTGAGAAAAAGGATCATTGTCCAGGAAACATGTAGGCAAGGGAATAAAGAGGGTGTTTATTGTAATTTCTAAATGTTTTATTACTTATTTTTAACCATTTTTTAACATACTTTTACTATTAATATGATTATAATAATATTATAAATAAAAGTAATAATAAATACTTAAAAGTAACAATTGACACACTTGCCAAAAAAAAATGGAAGGTGAAGAATTTGGTATAGAAAAAAAAAAGAGAATAAGGGGAAAAATTACAAATATACAGCAGGCCCCCTTTCTGGCTGAAGGAGCAGTGAGATTTACTGTTCCCTGGATGGAATTTTGGAAAGGACTAAGCACAGAATTGATTCAAATGTGAAAATACACGAGAGAGAGAGAGAGAGAGAGAGAGAGAGAGAGAGAGAGAGAGAGAGAGAGAGAGAGGGAGAGAGGAAAATCTAAAAGGTCAAGATGAACTGTCCAAGGACCCACATGGTAGACAAAATGGCAGAGTTAATCTGACTTTAGTGAACCTAACTTTGGAAGCAAATGAAAATCACTGATGTGGATCCATTCTTCAGCTATCTACCATTTTCCATTGCATACTATTAGAGGCAAACTACCTTCTCTCTCTATCAATTTTTGTCCATTGGGGATCATGCTATGCTACCCCGTTTACACCTTTTCAGTGTACTAAGTGGAAGTAGTACAAACACAAGGACCATGAATACTTCTTGTTATCACTTGCAATAATTGTAACAGGCATCCTAAGTTCATTTTATCTGCTAATTGAACTCATACACTCCCATTTGAACACTAATTTGGCCTCCTAATGAAAATCACAGTAAACAATTATACACCCTTTTTTGTCCCTTCAAAACTATCTAAATCACCGCTCATTAATTGGTCAAATACACTCTCATAATAACTATAATTTCTCCTTTTAATTCTTGCTTGGACTCCAACTTGGTGGGAACTTTAATCTTGCAAAAATTCTCTTTTATGGTCAAAAAAGAAACTATCACATTTTTTATATATAGAAAGGAATTTGACTGTGTTTAAAGCACATGATTCGTACTATATGACAACATTTTCAAGAAAGGAGAAAATGGATTTTTTTTCTTGGTTCATGGAGAACACTGATCTCTAATTTTATACTGATACTAATTCTATTCAAAACGTAAAATTTTACCTTTTTTAACAAAATAGTTTTTATACAATATAGGTTAAGAACACACTCTTATTAAATGATTATAATTTAATAACAGTTATAAAAAAATTAACTAAGAATTATTAAAATGATTTTTTAATAAATTTTAATTAATAATAAAAATGTGTTAGATTTTTCTTTTTAATACATGATCAAGAATCATATATCTTGACTTGAACAATATATTTAAAAATTTAATTATCTATCAACTGTATCACATTTTATCAACACACTTAAAATTTAAAAATATACTATTTATGTGTACTAAAAAGTGAGGTCCTGTAATTACGGTTCGATCCCTAAACAATAGGGAACCTTTTATGAGAAAGATAAGGGGGAATTAGTTTGGTCCAAAGACCCAAATGGCATCTTGATATTGTGGTATGCATAATTATTGTAATTTTAATAACATTTATGATAAATACGTGAAAAGTAAGAGGCAACGAGGGAAAGGACAATAAGAGCATGTGGTAATAGTCTTTTCTTTTGAAGTCACAAAAAGAGGAAATGGCATGTGATGTGGTGTACACGTGCATATGAGTGTTTTTTAAAGTTCTCATATATTTTTACAGGTTTCACTCGCTGCAAATGCACGACCTACGAAGTGAATGGAAGAAGGAAAGAAACAGATTCATCAAAAACTAAATATAAAACTAAGTGAACCCATAAAAGGGAGAGACCCTCTCTTCCATTCTGTCTGAGCTGTTTCTTATGTTATGTTCTTCTGTTCAGACACTTCAGAGAGAGAGAGAGAGAGAGAGAGAGAGAGAGCATCTTCTTCTGCATTCCTACTTACCTCTCATCAATCATTTTGCTGTTAATGATAAGGTTCCACCTGTTGTGAAAACCAAGGACTCTCTCTTCTGTGTAACTTGTCTGCCATACTCTATTCCATGAAACTACAACATGACAATGGAAGAAGAGTCCTTGGCAGCAGTCCCATTTGACAGAGCCGTTGAACAGGTCACTTTTTCATTTCCTCTTCTTTTTATGGTGCCAATTCTCTTTCTTCTTCACCTTCTTCCTTTGACACTGTTTCAAAGTCATCGTCTTTTTTGTTTTTACTAGTGTTGTTCACATGTTCTCACTTTTTCGTCTCTTGTTTCTAATTGGTGTGCTTCTCAAATGAAATCGTTTTTCAAGGAGTTTTTGGTTGTTTGACTCTATAATTGAAAGTATATTTCTCTCTGCATTGTGCATATACTGTAATGGGGGTCTAAAAATTTTGGAAGGTAATTATGGTTCTTGTTCGAAATTTTAAATTTTCCCCCTTGTGTGAATTATTCATTCCTTGATGTCAATGACACTAATTCAATTCTGACATATCAGTTCTCCTTCATTTTTCTTTTTATTTTTCAACAGAAGCACCTAATAGGCTAATACTCATTCGTCTAGTGCTGTTATATTTAATTGCTGCATTCTCTTTGTAAATATAAAAATGAGTGAGTTTTTTGTCATTTCAAATGATTTGTTCTCAAAATCCAGATAAACAAACAAAGGATCGGTTATCTGTTTGGTTCTTCATGATAACATCCCTGCAATTTTACATCATCTTTTGGTCTGGGGTAATGTTCTTAATTAGACTATAAGAATCCCTGGACAATTAATGTGCTTATGATCTTAATTGTTGTTGCTTTCTACCTTTTTTTCTCCTCAAAATATGCACACATTCTTATATGGGTGATATGCTCACATTGAAGTGGGTGTTGGTGTTATGGGGTGGATCAGTTTGAAAACTAGACTTTCGGTCTTTGTTTTGAAATTGCCAATGTGAGTGATATTTTGATTTGATTTTTGTATTTTCTTTGTACAATCTGTTCTACTGTTTATTTACCTTACCTCCTATAGAAACGGTTTTCCTTAGTACCCAACTGAAAAATTGGTTTTTATCTGTTCAGGCAATTGTATCTATAAAGAAAGGTGCATATTTACTAAAGTGTGGTCGTAGAGGAAAGCCTAAGCTCTGTCCTTTCAGACTTTCTCAGGTAGGACCACATTTCTTAGTACATTTTGTTCTTCTTCTTTCTTATATGAATATTTAACTTATAAGCACCATTCCTTTGGATGTTCCAACGTCATTTACAGCTTTATTAGTGGCTTTTTCTTAATTTCTGTTCATTAGCATCAGTTGATGGAGGAAAATTAAATGTTGCTTGCTAATGAATGCCTGTTTTGAAAATTAGATTTGTTGTTTTTTGTTGCACGATATGATAAACATTATTGTGTCTGAAATTTCATTTATTTGTGTTATTTTCTTCATTGCATTATGATAGTGTTACTAAAATATATCTTCATGTCCCCTGATTCTAGGATGAGAGAAATTTGATTTGGTACTCAGGGCAGCAGGAAAAGCATTTGCGATTGAGTGCAGTTACAAAAATTGTTCAAGGGCAGGGAAATGTAAGTAACAAACATCCATGAATTCCAGGTGAATGTGAAGGTTTGAAAGATAAAAAGAGTAAAAATCATGTTTTGGTCTAATAAATGGTTCACCATTTTCAGATAAGGTCCCAAAGGCAAAATGAACCCGAAAAGGAGTGCCATTCATTTTCACTAATCTATGCAAATGGAGAACGTTCTCTTGATCTGGTAATATTTTTGAAATGTGATCACCACATGACATATAGCTGCATTTTTTTTTTATATGTGTATAGTCTGACTTGTTTATTTTGAATTATAGATATGCAAGGACAAAGCACAAGCTGCTTCTTGGTTTGTTGGGTTGAAAGCTGTGCTTTCAAGGTGTCAGCATCCAAGAGCTTTTAGTAGTTTAAGAAGCTGCAAAGGGGTGCAGAGTTGTGTTAGTAGTCCAGCTGGAATCTTACGAAGAAAGAAAAATCTTGGCCTTCTTGATGATGCCTCTCAGTTTACTCAGGTTTCATACATCTTCTTTGTTACTTTATCTATATATAACGAGTGAGAAATTTTTTGTGGTTAAAATAACGTGGGGGGATCTGTAAGAAAGTAAAATATTATTTTTAATTGTTCAGAATAATAAAACTATGCCAATTTACTTGGTAGTTATGTTCATATGCAATGTTTTTATGTATTCAAACAATGAAAATGTTTCTTTCACCTCTGCTTTATGATTTGATTTAGCGGCTTGTTTTATTATCAAATCTTCATTGATCTAAAGGTTGGGAAAAAAGAGATTTGCTCTATTTTATTGAAGAAAATTGTGGTTGACTAGTATAATTTTCAGTAAGTTCCATGTCCATGCACATAAGGGAAAAGAGAATCAATAAAAGGAGATGTATGAAGCTATAAATTTTTATGTGAGGTAGAGGGGTTTCCATTATATTCTGATTAGAAGCAGTTTGCATGTATTTATTTCTCTTTGCCTTGTTAATATAAAAATCACTTAGATATCACTCTCTCCAAAAAGGAGAAAAAAAAAAAACATACAACAAAATAATTTATCATGGACATAAAATTTAACTTGCATTTTTTTATTATTGTTTTGAAGGTACATAGCTTATGTGCAAGTCCGACTTTGTCACTATCAGAAAGGTGCTTTTCTGATGGCTTGTCATGCACATCCGATAACTTCTATTCATCTGCATCTTACCTCTCCAGCACTCATGGCATAACAGATAATTCAGTCCCAAGTTCTCCATATATTGATCCAGATATTCATAGCAACATCGAGTCAAAACGTGTTGACAAGGAGCACAAGAGGAATATGTCCTATAGATCTCTAATGCCTCCTAGCTCCCCACGTGTAGGAAACAACAATGTATTGAAGGATGTGATGATATGGGGTGGAGGAATTGGATGCCTTGTAGGGATTGTGAATGAAAGGTTTGTTCAACATGGCATTTATTCTTTGGTGCCTAAGTTACTAGAATCAACTGTAATGTTAGATGTACAAAATGTAGCTTTAGGAGGAAAACATGCTGCCTTAGTTACAAAACAAGGGGAAGTATTTTGTTGGGGTCAAGGGAAGTGGGGAAGGTTGGGGCAAAAAATTGATATGGACATTAGCTCCCCCAAGATAGTTGATTATCTTAATGGTATTAATGTAAAACATGTTGCTTGTGGTGAGTATCATACATGTGCTTTGACAGATTCTGGTGAAGTATATACATGGGGGAATGATGTTTGTTGTGCAGATTTGGTTAATGAAGGGAGAATTAGAAGTCAGTGGATACCACAAAAACTTTCTGGACCCTTAGATGGTATAACTATCTCAAGTGTTGCTTGTGGTGAATGGCATACTGCAATTGTTTCTAGCTGTGGGAGGTTATTTACATATGGAGATGGTACATTTGGGGTTCTTGGGCATGGTGATCTTCAGAGTTTGTCCACTCCAAAAGAAGTTGAATCTCTTAGTGGTCTATGGGTGAGGTCTGTAGCATGTGGATCATGGCATACAGCTGCTATTGTTGAAGTCATGTTTGATCGGTTTAGGTACAATAGTGCTAGTGGTAAGTTGTTTACATGGGGTGATGGTGATGAAGGGAGGCTGGGTCACGCTGATAATGGAAGCAAGCTTGTACCCACATGTGTTACACAACTTGTTGACTATGATTTTGTTCAAGTATCATGTGGAAGAATGTTGACAGTAGCACTTACTAACATGGGTAAGGTTTTTGCAATGGGAAGTGCTAAGTATGGACAACTAGGAAATCCACATGCTAGGGACAAAGCAGTTATGGTTGAAGGACAACTTAAGCAAGAGTTTGTTAAAGTGATATCATCTGGTTCATACCATGTTGCTGTTTTGACTTCTGCTGGGAGTGTTTATACATGGGGCAAGGGTGAAAATGGCCAATTGGGGCTTGGTGATACTGAAGACAGACACACACCTTGTTTTGTTGAGGCTCTAAGAGATAGGCAGATAGATACCATTACTTGTGGTCCAAGTTTCACAGCTGCAATTTGTTTACACAAACCAATTTCTATTAGTGACCAATCGACATGTAGTGGTTGTAGGTTGCCATTTGGGTTCACAAGGAAAAAGCATAATTGTTATAACTGTGGCCTTCTGTTCTGCCGTGCTTGTAGTAGTAAAAAGATTGTAAATGCACCTCTAGCCCCAAGTAAGAGCAAGGCGTTTCGGGTTTGTGACCAGTGCTTTGATAAACGGCAAGGAGGTACACATTCAGCAATGGCATCAAAGTCTAGAAATTATAACACTCAGCAGATGCTTAAGCATCAGCAGAAAATTGTTGATGTGACTGAAGATAGGGGAGAGACAACTGTGACACAAGGTCCTTTGTTATCGCTTGGTCAATCATGTTACAGAAAAAGCATGCCTAGCGGGCGTAAGGATTGGAAAAACCAACAAGAAACCCAACAGGACTTGGAAGATAGTTCTTCCATGTTAGGTGGAATGCCACAATGGGGGCAAGTTCCATGTCCTGCCATATTCAAGATCAATTGTGCAGAAAATTCAGTTGTGCATGTTTCTTCATCCAAAAATAAATTAGCTGCTGTTTCTCCACTTAATGTGGAATCTACAGTATGCAACTTCACCAATGCAGAGACAGAAACAACAAAGTCTGATAAGATGCTCATAGAAGAAGTTCAGAGGCTGAGAGCTGAGGTAATTATTCCACTTTCAGGCACCCTTAAATTGCTTTATTTTTACCTGGTATATATAGGACAAGCATCTGTAAAAACCATGAAATTGAATTCTTTTTACTTTATAATTCACCTTAATCATTATCCTTATTTAGATCACCAGTATCTTTTATATATCTCTTTCCATCTATCTTTATATATAAATGTTGTAATGCAATAAACTTTTCCTGTTCATTTACTTAATGAAAATCTGTATTGATCATTGTTCACTTGCACATGTTGCTATTTCATGTCATTGGATAGGCTACGAGACTTGAAGAACAGTGTGAGCTCAAAAACCAAAAAATACAGGAGTGTCAACAAAAAATTGAGGATAGTTGGTTTGTGGCAAGGGAGGAAGCTGCTAAGTGCAAGGCAGCAAAAGAGGTCATAAAAGCTTTGGCATTAAGGGTAAGTTCTTTGTTATTATTATAATTACTTTAAGTTAGGTTTAAGTTTGATTGCTAAAACTTTAAAAGGCAGCGGAAGAGGTAATCAATGTGACACTTCAAGCTTCAGAACCTGGTTTTGCTATTTACAAAATAAGAATTCATATTCGAAAAGGCTTTTTTGAAATGTAAATCTCTGATAATTAGATAGTAATTAGAACTTTAGACTTGTTTGGTTAAAGGGTCTCCTAAAAGTTTCTTTATTTGAATTTTTAACTATATTTTTTTGTAGGTCTTCAGTGAACTAAATTGTGCCCCTATTGCTCTATAAGTAACAATATGTAACATGATAACACTAAAACTAGGAAATGCAATATGTAGAGGATATTAATAGATGTTACTTGAATTATGTAGCATTTATAATTAAGCGTTGTACACAGTAATTGATGTAGCTATCATTATTGCAGCTTCATACAATATCAGGAAAAGATAACACTGGGCTACAAGAAATTTTGCCTAATTTGGCACCCATACACACGGATATGAAGAGTCCAAGAGATGGCAATGTGGATAGTCTATCCAATTCCCCTATCGTATTCTCTGACACATTAAAATCCAAATTTGGGAGAAGCATGTTCCCCAAAAATGATAAATTAATGGAGAATTCTAACTTAAATAGAGCAGAATCTCAACAAGACACCACAAATGGTTTGAAGGTTGAATGGGTAGAACAATATGAGCCTGGTGTTTACATCACTTTCACAACCTTGCCGTGTGGGAAAAAGGGCCTTAAGCGAGTCAGATTTAGGTAATGTTCTACTTATGATGTTTTTTTATTTTTAAAAATCCTCTAAAGTTTCAAGACAAATTTTTACCCAAATCTTAATCATAAACTTCTCAAAACTGAAAATCAAACATTTGCTTTTGTTTATAAACTTGAGAAATGCTAAATACATTATTTGCCACTCTTTGGAACACTTGATGAAATCTCATTATGGTCCCACTAATGGGTAGTGGTTGCACTAATGGGTAGTGGCCCAAGATTATTTAGCGCTTTGTTCTAACATGTTGGGTTATATCTAGTCCTTTTTATCATTATTTTCATATATATATATATATATATATATATATATATATATATATATATATAGAAAATATTAATAGAATGCATCATAGTTTCTTCATATAACTTACCTCGTGTTTATATTAATAAGTTTCGTAATCAAATGTATGCCATAAACTTCTATGAATAAAAACTTATTGAATAAGGGCTTAATCAAGTTGTAATAAAAATAGACAAATAATGTGTCATCTAAATCACCTTGGCATGTGTGGTATGCAGTCGGAAGCGATTTTCAGAGAAGGAAGCTGAAAGATGGTGGGAAGAGAATCAAGTGACAGTGTATCAAAAGTATGGGATTGAAGGATACATAAACACTAGCCAAAGTCAGGTGAAAGGCTAATTTTTACTTGCCATTCATCTCTAGCAGTTTTCACTATAGTTCTTTGTAGGAGGTGATGTTGGCTTCAGGCTTTAGAAGAGAGAATTACTCAAAAGAAATATCAAGTTTTATTGTATCTAATTAATCTAAGCATCCTTTGTCTTGGGGGCATTCCATTCTCTGTACAGTCACAAATAACAGAGTGTCTCTTAATTTTCTCTATTCTATTTCAGTATTAATTACAAAGTTGTTCAAATTCCACCTCTTATTTTCCAAATTTCCTTGCTTGCAATGCCAAAATGCATCCTACAAACAGCATGAATCATATTATAGAACTCTTTCTTTTTCACTATTTTCTACAGTATGCTTTCGGTCCATGTGGGGCCTACAGAATGCCTAGCTATTTTCTTTTAGCATTCACACCTTCGCTGAATGTTGACCATAAACAGGACTTTGGGCTGAAAAAAAGATATATACACACACACACACACCCGTGTAATTATTGAATATATACAAAAGACTAAAGGGTTTTATATATAAAAAAAATTATAAATATATTAAAATTTTTCAAAAATTACTATTGACGATCTTTATTTTTTTTTTTTATAAAAGATCTGTTCACAATTTTTAGGATTTATAATTTTTAAATTTTGTACCTTTGGATCTTTGTATCCGCATAAAAATGACACATTGACGACTTTTGAGTTTATATTTTTTTAATTTTTAAATATATATTATTTTTAAGTACCATATAAAAATTAAGAGACCAAGACTAAACTATTATTTTGATTATCCAATAATCAAAGATATACTATTTGACATCAAGTTAATTTTAAAAAAATGTGTAACATTAAATCAAATTTTAAAACTTAAAATAACATCAACATAATTTTCATGTAAAAAATTAAAGTTTAATTTGTATCATTTTAATATTACTTTAAAATTTTAAAAATTGATTTAATGTCTCACATATTTGAAAGAATAATAAATATTGAATTTATCTTTGGAGGATGGTATACTTTAAGTTGTATTATGAGCATTTGTAAAATACCCTAAATTCTTCTTTTGTGATAGAATTTTCTTTTTTTATGGTTGAGTTGGCAGAAGACAGAGCATAAGGGTATCTGTGAAAATATTTCAACACTCTATAAGCACTCTTAAGTCTTAAAAGAATAACAATGTGTGAATGCCTACTTAAAGTTTACAATTTTTTTTATCAATTTCTGTGAACTTAGTTTGTATAAGGCTTGATTGTGTTGAGTTAAAAGAATGGAATTTAATTTAAAATCAAAATTTAAAATTTAAATCTTACTTGTTATCATATAAATTTAAATTGATCCGATTGAATAGTCCATGTGTTAATTGGGCTTGAATCTTGGATTGGGTCCAAAATAGAGGCTCCCTAAGAATTTGTTGATGAAGAAAGGGACAGAACTAAAGAATAAGGGAGTATGTTACTTGAAATAGCAATAAAGGTAGGTCTATAGATGTTTCAACCTAATTGACATCCCACTTTTTGCAAAGATAGAAAAATGGGATTTTTGGTTGAGAAGGAGAGGAAGAAGGAATAGCAATGGCAGCATAAAGTGGTAAAAGAGAAAAGCACCAAAAGATGGATTCATGAAAAGGAAAGCATTGAGACAGACATATTTGGCATCCATGGGAAAAGCATTGGATAACTTACAAGTGATCCTACCATGCCGCGTGGATGCTTTTCTATTTCACGTGGCAAAAGCTGGTCCCACATGGGTCCCACTCCTTATTTCCTCACCACCATCCATTACTTCAATACCAATTCTAGTTCTCAATCATTATCAACATATTTCACAAACATTTTTTTACATCCCATCTCATTTTATTAAATTTCTGCTTAATTTAATATTCTATTTGGTTACAACTAATTACAATTCAAATTACAGCTTTTAATTTTTTATATAATATATATCAATCATGCTTCATTAACATTAGATATCAAATTTAAACATTTACATCACTTAATAACATTTTATTAATTATAAGATTGATTAATTTAATTATTAAATTATTTCATATCATCTTTCTGATTGTGTATATTAAATTTCACGTAATTTTAACATTTGTAAGTATGTTATTTAAAAAAATTTATATTTTATTTTTTAATAATTTATAATATTAATATATTTGATGGGAATTAATTTTTAAAATAATAGTTAAATTAGTTAATTTTATATTATATAAAAAGTTATCTAATGATATAAATATTTAAATTTATCAACGGAAGTTGATTTGAGTGGCAAGCTGTTTAGTATCGTTTAAGTAAGGTATTTGATTTGAATTTTTGTGTATGCAGAAAATTTTCAGTAGAATTGAATCTAGATTAAATTAGATGAAAAAAATAAAAATAAAAATACATGTTGAAAACTTAATAGTTAGTGTGAATGGATTTGATTTTTTCTTCTCTATGTATATAATCAATTACTTCTTATTACTTCAATTATCATTAATTATAAAAAATAATTAAAATAATTGTAAAATTAATTATATGTTAGGTCATATACATAGCTAATGTTTCCATATTTCTAAAACAACAATTTACTTTTTGTTTTTCTCAAATATGTATATCCTTTGTCCAAATATATTAGGCTGACAATTAACTATTACTAGTGTTACATGTGAAAAATATTTTCAAATATCATTGTCATTAGACCTCTCCCTGTATCCAAAATATAAATACACTCGACAATTTCTTTTATCAAATATATACAAAAGAGAAATGCAGACAAATATTTATTGTTTCTGCATATATACTAGAAGTTGACAATACAAACAAACACTCATTGTGGACGTTTAATGTGTAAACCAATCTTAAACAATAAGATGTTCTCATAGTCAATCAAAATATCATTGTCTGATTCATAACAATTGAGATTCGAATTCCATCTCTTCAATCAAAGTTCTCTTCAATATTCAAAATCTAATTTATATTCACATGAAAAAATAGTTGAAAACAGAACACACAAAAGAACACAAAGGGAGATTAGCGAAGCTCCAAAGAATATATGAATGGCCACAAAAAGAAGTGTGAAAGGGTCGTTAGTTCAGTTAGGAACAGCCGCCAAAGTTCGTTGGATACAGTTTTCTCACGTTAATAAAGATTCTTAATCCAAAGAAAAGGTGTGAAATGCATCCATTCATGCATATATTGTCGTGTGGAGAAGACCAGAATCTAAGAAAGAACAAGCAGGAAGCATAGGATCATTGGAGAAGAGAGCTCTAAATATGCAATAATATTATTGACTAGGAATAATCATCAATTCAAGCTTCAACCCAAAGATAAGAGGAATCATTCATTTGATCAAAAAACAAACGAAAAGTACTTCAAAAAGAAAAAGAAAGAGAGAGAGAGAGAGAGAGAGGGGGTGGCACAACCCCCCATTTTGCTTTTTGTTCGTCCAATCTTCTCTCTCCTCTCTTTTTGTCTTCTTTATCAAAACCCCAAGCAACCCCAACATTCCACCCTCCCCTTCCTCTTCGTCTTCCAACACATTCTCTCATCTTCTCCCTGTGTGTTTGGATCTTCTTCCTCCCAAATTAAGGTCTCTCCCATATAACTTCTCTCTTACGATCCATACATGCACTATAGAGTATATATAGAGATATATTCATGTTTGTTTTAGTTTACTATTAAGGTTCTAATTTTGGGTTATTGTTTTTTTTCCTTATATGGCAGGGTTTTAATTTGTGTGATTGGTGATCATCACTTGGAATTGAGGTTTTGTGCCCCAGATTTTATTAGGGTCACGAGGCAACTATAGCTAGCAGCTGCTCATAGTTTCCCCTGTACTCTTTGTTACCAATTTGTTCAAAATAAGAAGGTCCATATAGTTAGGTCATTTAGATTCAAATATACATATATGGCGCCTGTTTCATTGCCTCCAGGGTTTAGATTCCACCCCACCGATGAAGAACTCGTTTCTTATTACCTCAAAAGAAAGATAAATGGTCGTAAGATTGAGTTGGAAATCATCCCTGAAGTTGATCTTTATAAGTGTGAACCATGGGACTTGCCAGGTAATTAAACACAGCTTCTACACTCACACTGACAATCATGTCATGCATCTTTATATATTTGTTGAGTTGAGTTTTGAACATTGACTAGAAGAAAACCCCATGACACACACTGAAACATAACATGAAGAGGCCTATACATTTAAAACACCTCTCATTTTTTTTATTGACAAATCATGATTGGTTAATGGCTATACCAAAGAATCTTAAAAAAGTGGGGGCACACTTCTTTAGACACGATTTGCTTCTGATCTTTATTCAATCATGAAACACATACTTGCTTTATTGGTCAAGTATATTTTTCTGCTTTAGCATAAAATATCTAGGGATGTACACTTATACATTGTAGGGAGAGTAGCCCTTCAAATATAGGGTTCTTAATCCTATATATTGTGAACGTCAAGACATAGTAATGAGGGAAGAGTGAGATTCCCAAGTCAAAAAACAGTCAACAAAAGAAAAAGAATTACATTCTCTACATAATATACACACATGACTCCCATGCAATTTATGTACTAATTATTAATTTTCATTTTTTAAATTCAAGGTTTTCATATCATGGTAACCATGTTAAAATTTGAATGGGTTGTTACGTACATGCAGGGAAGTCATTGTTACCGGGAAAAGATTTGGAGTGGTATTTCTTTAGCCCTCGAGATAGGAAGTACCCAAATGGATCAAGAACCAATCGTGCAACAAAATCTGGATATTGGAAGGCCACAGGGAAAGATCGTAAGGTGAATTCTCAAACTCGTGCAATAGGAATGAAGAAAACCTTAGTTTATTATCGAGGTAGGGCACCACATGGTTCTCGTACAGGTTGGGTTATGCATGAGTACCGTCTTGATGAGAGGGAATGTGAAACTGCTTCAGGCTTGCAGGTATTTTTCTTCATTTTTAAACACTCAGATAATCCTCCCAATATGATCTTTTTCTTTATTTACATCAGTTTTTTTAAAATAATTGTATGTATATTTCTTTATTAATTATGGAAGATGTGAGTAAATGTATATACAATTTCAATATCAAAAGTGAACTTGGGTTTCAATCCCTAAGTATATAGAATTTAATTATTGAATTTATTAACGTTATGATAAATTAGTTCTTTTCACCTAAAGAAATTAAATTTATCATAGAATTGATGGATTCGAAATTATATTATATGCGCACAGATTATCATTTTCAAGTCTAATCTAGTATGACATACACACATGATGATTGTCTTTACTTGCTTTCTAGTACAGTGCTGAATAAATCAAGTATTATCAAAATATAATTTTTCACATTAATTTATTTTATTTTAATAAATTAAATTTATTTTTGACAATAATTTTTTTTGAAGAAAAAACATCTCAGACATGCACTGTTAATAAATTCTCTAAATTTTTAATTAACAAATAGCTGCCTAATCCCTAGGAGTCTGTGTATTTACTATTGGTCTATATAACGAAAGATTTTCATTTTAAATTCTAGACAATAAACTTTAATTCTATTTTGAATTATGTGATTTCAGGACGCATATGCTCTATGTCGTGTGTTCAAGAAAACTGTAGTGATTGCACCAAAAGTTGGAGAGCACTATGTTAATGTGACAAGCCATGCAAATCAGATTACAAGCGATCAATCATCAAGCATTGAGCTATACTCTGATGGAAGAGGTGAAGTTTTAGAAAGCTCAAATTATTTGATGCCGTGGGATACATGTTCATCGCAAAACATAAATAGGACCAATGCCAATATTAATGGTGGGACAAGGGATAATGAGACATGGACACATTTTTTATCAGAAGACTTACTCAATCTTCCAACATCTTCTTCATTTCCCAATTATGGAAGCATGACTTACCCTCCATCAAAGGTAACCGCTACCCACAAGTTTCTCTTGTACACGTATAAATAAAAGTTTGAGATAAAATACGTTTTCCTTTTCTTATTATTTCAGTCTTTTTAACTTATTTTATTTTTAGTATACCTAAGCTTCTTCTAAAATTTTGATTAAAGTGACCAAGTTATAATCAGGTTTAAAATTTTGACTAGGAAGTCTCTCGAGCTAAATTAAGCTAAATAAGTTAAAATTTATGAGGTTATTTAGTTTATGGAATATTTTTCATTTTAAATTATAAAATCATCATATTTTAATTTTTTATCTATTTTTTAAAAAATTATACAGGAAATAATAAGAATTATTTTTACTGCTTTTTATAAATTTTAATTTGAAAATCTAAGCCAAATAAAAATAGAAAAAAATATTTTCTAAAATTAAGTAGTCCCTTATATGAATTAAATATTATCTTTTCCTTTTAATGATATGGTCTCTTGTCCCTCATACACATGATTTGATTTGTAGGTAGATATAGCACTAGAGTGTGCAAGGATGCAGCATAGGTTTCCAGTGCCTCCGTTGGAGGTGCAAGACTTCCCTCAAGTTGGCATGAATTTTGAACTGAAGATGTCACAAGCCTCAGGTTCCATGTGGGGAAGCCGAAATGAAACAGATATCTTGCAAGAAATTCTTTCAGTTGCTCATGCTTCCCAGGAACTAATAAATCACTCATCACAAGCAATATTGGGTGGCAATGAAAATTATGTTCCTCATGAAAATGATTTTACTTTTATGGTTGGCACCAATTACAATCATGTGAATGATATGAACTCCATGAGATATGTTGATCACAAAGCATGGGAAGACCCAAATATAAGATCAATAGAGATCGGGGATTTTGAAGATGAATTTAAGACAGATAAGATGGTGGATGATTTAAGATGGGTTGGAATGTCAAGCAAAAATATAGAAAAGGTACATTGTAATGTTAATATTATTTTAATTTAAACAAAAGTGTGCATATCATTATCATATTTAAGATCGTCTATCAATCTTAGAAATCAATTATTGGCTTAAGGTAAAGGCCCATATTACAAATGAGTTTTAAATTTATATATATCTGGCAAATTGCATAAATATTAAATAAATTGGAACACTGTTATTATTATCCTAAACCCTTAAAGATATTTGTTAATATTATATATATTTTTCTATCTCTCTTTATTGTATTACTTATTTTATCTCACTTCTTTCTTTTCTCTTCTTATTTTTCTCTTAATTGTAAAAAAATAAAATAAATAACAATACAATAGTATTGTAAAAATACATTTTTTCTTCAATTTATACAAGACGTACTTTATATTATTATTTGCATAATTTGATAGGGCTTCATGGAAGAGCAAAAGATTGTTCCAATTCAGGACATCTCAAGCTTCCAAACTAACAGGGAAGAAAATGAGATGCAAGGTAATTTTCACACATAATTGCTTTTTTGTAATGACCTTGGTCATGTAACGTAACCTTCTCTTTATTCATAACAAAATTATCAATAATTTCCTCTCTTTTTTTTCTTAACAAATTTGATAATACCTTTTGTTTGCAATAGGATCAGCGCAACAAAATGGCAACAACGAACTCAATGGTACTGAAATTGAGGATTTCTCATTGGGGTTTATCAATGATAGTGACCCCACTGAAAACTTTATGGATGAAAGCAACATTGATTATTCAAATTCTACAAATTTTGAGGTTGTTGAGGAAACAAAAGTGAGTCATGGAATGTTTGTCTCTACTCGTCAAGTGGCTGATACATTCTTTCATCAAATAACTCCTTCACAAACCATCAAAGTTCAACTCAATCCAATGTTGGCTAACAATCAATCTATAGAGAATGAAGTAATGGTTAACCAAGGGTCCTCTTTCCATAGAAAATTTAAGACCTATGTCATGGGAAAGCTCATAAAGCCATCAAACTCAGCAGTAAGTGCCCTTGTATTCATCTTTGCACTTCTGTTGGTTCATTGTGTCCATTTGAAGGAGCAAGTGGAAGATTGGAGTAGTGCTAGCAGCATGAAGAGAATGGGACAACCAAATGAGACTACAATATTGAAAGAACAAGAAAAAATTTGGTTTGTTGGTATTAAAAGTGGGAAAGGATTTAGTGTGGTCTTGAAGAAGATAGGCATTTTCCTTACCATATCTTTGGCTCTTTGTACCATGTGGGCTAAACACATCATAGTTAACCCTTGACCTCCTAATTTCATTTTGTTTTTAGCTTCTAACTTAATTAGAATAATCAAATTGAATACCCAAATTGGGCTCCTAGGAGACTAATGTATCCAAATTAATTACTTGTATTTTACTTGGTCACACATGTTACTTCATTAAGAATTAATTGTATGAATTCAATAGGATAAATGTAGAATGTTGTCACCTTCATTTTTTTATTTATTTAACCCATGTATTGCTCATCTCATTTCAAGTTCCTTTATCTTCAGTTTGAGTAACGTTGTTCTTTCTTGAAAAATATCATTTTCATTCATAATATGAAAGTGCTACACAACATTGTTTGCAAGAAACTACAATGCTTGTTTAGTGGCTAGTTGCCGCAATCCCGTTTCCGCTAAAATAATGCAGTGTTGAATGGTTTGAAAAATTATTCATTCTCAAAATTAATTCTAATATACGTAAATTTAATTTTGATAGAAGTATTTGTTTTCAACTTTCAACGTGAATAAAAACAATTTCCTTTAAAAAATGCTTAATGGTGATAAAAAAAATTCTTGATTTTTCATTTTCATCGTTCTTAATTTTAGTGCAGAATTTAAAATTTAAAAATATGTCTACAGCTGGCTTTAAAATATTAAATTCCAGAAGCTTATATAGAAACTTCTTTCCAGAAACTTAAATTTGGAAAGACAAGAATAATCAATTTAAGGAAGCAGAATTGTAATTTGAGAAATTTATTTTTATAAATATTTAATAATTTTAGAAATTAATTTTTGAAAATATGAAAAATTAATTTTGAAAACTAATTATGAAAAGTATGAAATCTTAATTTTAGAAAGTTATTTATGAAAATATTCAATAATTTTAAAAATTAATTTAAACTCATTAATAATTCCAAAATTTTTTAAAATATAAAAACATAAACTTAAAAAATTTATTTTAGAAGTGTAGAATTTTACACAGAAAAAGAATATCACGTAGAACCTCGCGTGATCTTAACAAATGCGTAGAGGATTCAGTGGGATAATAATAATACTAATAATCTTTAGATAGTTATTATTATTGATATTGCTTGAGTATCTGCCTTCTATTATCAATTGATCAAACTTATTCAAATGTCCGCATATGTCGCTGATACGCAGGCTCTTCTATCAAGAGATTCTGTCTGTTATATTTTTGAAAAATTATTTTACCTAATTTGAGTATATCAAACTAAACTTATTAGCACTGATAAGTAATTAATCAATAAAACATTGGAAAATATACAGTTTAGTTTATATAAATTAATAAAGTGTTGACAATTACTGATTTAATTCACTTTGGGAGTAGACAATGTATAAAAAAAAAGTTCATTTTTAGTTTAATTAATTCTGCTTTCATTGAATGATATGATATTAGAATCAACAGCCAATGCGTATCTATATATCTTTTTCTGTTGGATTTTGTCACCCAACACGAAGTAGTCAATTTCCACACGATCCGTGAAGCTAGCTCTCACAGACCATTCATCATCTCCATTTGTTCAATGCCATCATTTAACCTTTTATATACACTTACAAAGTATCATTTGTTTACTCAGTTAATATATACACGAAAAAGAAAAGTTAATTTAGAGATATATATTTTGATAAAACAATTACAAGATTATTTATATGTAAAAAAGTTCCATTTCATGAAGGCTTAGAAATAACAGTTTAGATGAAAGCTTATAAACATGATAATTGATTAATCATAAATCATCACAATGACCAGATATTAAAAATACAATTTTTTAATATTTGTTTGAATCCCTTCTTAGTATGCCCCTATCAATTTTAAAATCTTTATGATAAAAGAGAAATTTTGTTCTCTGGGCTTAGAACCCCTCGTTTAAAAAAATTATTTTACAGCCCTTCTAAAATTATATTTTATTAATGCATGTTAAGATGCAACAAGGTAACGATTTTTTTAACATTTTCTTCTGAACATGACATATGACAACTTTTTTACAAGCCCAACTTTTTTTTTTAATAAAAAACATAAAAGAGTACACTAAATATGAGTCATTGGTTGAGAAAATTAAAATAGAAAACTGATCAATAAATGGTGTGAAAAAATTGTTACTGTCTAAGGTGCAAGCTAGGAATGAATGGTTTTGAATGTGAAGAGGAGATGGGTAGTGGTTGAACAAAGGTGAGTGCACAGCACATGGATGATTGATTACCATTGTATCACTCACACATTCATCAGGGTATCAAAGAAAGTGACAAAAGAAAAAGATGTAACTAGTTAGGAACCAACAACAAAGTCTGATGAAAAAGAAGATGACAAAAATAACCCAAAGATGGGTTCACGGGTCTCTCACTGTTTCATCTTCTTGTTAAATATAATAAAGTGCACACCCCACTAGCTACATGCCAGCAATTCGTTCACACATTCAAACTAAAATTTTAACTCCATTCCAATCCAATTATCTTGAAAAAGCTGCACAATGCACCAATCTTTCCTCCATACAAAAAAAAAATTGGTGCAGTTTAGCTGCAGATAATTGTCCAAAAAGTTAAATAGCTTTTTCTTTTCTAAAAGTGGCTTAAAATAGTGATGAAAGAGCAAATATAGTATATATAATTAGCTCCAATGATCACATTACTTTTATATTGTAAGAGGTAACTTCATTTAGCTCATGGATTCAGCTCCTTCCTGTTCTTGGCTGCATGCCTTCTTCTTCTTAGCATTAGTGTGGTTCTTTAACTGTGGATGTGTTCATGGATCCACCCCTGCAGTGAAAGTGGGAAACTTTTCAAAAGTGGAAGATGCTGTGAACTTTCATATTTACTATGGCCAGACTTTCAAAGTCATTAAGGATGCAGCTGATGGCCAGAGCTACCTTCTTCTCCAGGTACTTTCTCTATGTAGATATCTTAAGAAATCAATAGAAACATATTAATTTTTATGTAAGGCAAGATTTTTAGATTTTGGTTTATATAAGCAAATAATGAAATAGATAAATGATAGGGATTTGTATTTTTATTTTAGTCTAAACAAGTGTGGATGAAAAAATTGAGGATGTGTACCATCAATTTTTGTACGTTGTTTCAGTGAAATTTTATAAACTATTATTCATGAGCTTAGGCTTTAAATCTGTTGTCCGGTATCAAAATAAAATGACTATCTTTAGAACTTTCTCCTATAAAAGAAAGAGAAGATGATATCTTCTGCGAAGACAACAAATTGACCCCTGGAAGCTACATCAAAGGGTTTATTAACACATTTGTATCATCAACCTATCTAGCTGACCAATTTGTATTTTTTTAAAAAAATTGATTAGGGACAGTAGCTACTTTTATTGGCAAAGTGCCAAAGTCATTTCTAATCAAAGATATAAGAATTTTAAAATAGATCAAATATTAGTATAACAGATTAGATAATAATAATAATAACAACCTATGAAGGAAGACCCAACGTTCTATTTACTTAAATGGACTATGATGTTTCTTCTGTTGGGAATGTATGCTTAAAGGAATTAAACATAGAAATTACTATTTTTCTAGTTATTTACATGTTTACCGAATTTTTCCTGCTAAGCTTTGTTTCTAGCCAACTTATTTTTCTTTTGTCATTTCCTCTCATTGGCAGAATAATTCAAGAATGGCGTCAAGGACAAAATATTGCACGTCAAGAATCAAATCATTTGTCATACCATTGTCAAACTATTCGGTTGATACGGATTATATTCCTGGTATGCCATGCATATTCCTAGTACATCCCTACTCAGTATCACTCATTGATTCTGATTTTCTTAAGAACCAAGATACTATAGCATATAACACCATAAAATAAATCATTTGATTTACCAGCAAATAAATTCAGCAACCACTTCAATGAGCCAATGCTATAACAAATGATTTGGCAATTCAATTAGTCATTCTTTTTGTATAAAACATAGAAAGGTCCTATTCTTGACCAACAAATTTGTACATAAATTATTGTTTCACCTTTGTTGTAACTAACTTTTTTCTTTTCTTTGCGGATTGGAACTCAAGTTTCCTTCTTAGAGGTGAGAATCTCTTACTACAGCAAGTTTACATATTAAAAGGTTTTGGTATGGATTTGGAATTGTGATGCCATGATCAACATAGAAGGTTTTTCATTTCCGTTATGCCTTCTTATTTCTTCATATTCTTGTTTCGATCAGCTTTTAGGCTTACTGGAGAGCTTGAAAGGCATAACCTCAGACTCTGTGGCTTCTCCATGTGTGTTGAAATTGTGTGGAGGAGGACAGATAGAGATCTTCAACAAAAGTGATTACCAAAACCTTGCACAATTTTCTTCATACTTCCTTAGTGACACTGATCAGCAGCCAGGTTGCAATTTTGCAACTTTTGATCCCTTTATGGAGGATACCCCTTTGCAGGTAAGCAGCTTAAAATTACTTCAATGAAAATTTTCAAAAGCCAAAAGATTAAGAAATTTGATTGAGCATAGGCTTCCTGGATGTTCCTGAAACCAATATCTGATTATGCTTCAGATGTTGATGGTGTTGTCACTCCAAGAATCAATAAACCTTTCCCATTCAAACTTTGATTGAGCAATATCACAGTTTCACAAAATTTAGTCTTAACTCTTATTTCCTTGGCATTTATTAGAAAAATCATTCTCCATAAAATAGAGGAAAAGTGCAATTTTTTTTTTTTACTGATTAAGAACCAACTTGGAATATTCATGAAATATTTAAGATGCATGTTGATTTATCTATGGAAAAGCATGATACTTAACGTTTTTGTGCTTGGAATGCTTAATGATTTACTGCATTTACTATGATAGAGAGCAGAATGGATCAAGTTCATGGGAGCTTTTGCAAATGTTGAAGCTAGAGCCAATCAAGTCTATGCTGCAGTAAGCACACCACTCAGTACAAGGAATAAGTAATGACTATATTACTATGTGATGAATATTTTCTTTCTGCAACTTCTACCATCATCATTATTCTGTACCTTGTTACTTCTTTTAGTCTACTAGTCCAGGGCCTAGACTGCAACATTTTTTCAGGAATTTCCACTTAGGGTCTTTCACTCTTGCTAAGCCTAAGCTGTTGAAATTTGATACTATGAATTGATTATCAGAAGTCAAATAACATTTAGGATTAAACTGAGTTTTCTCTCTAGTCCCTTATCATTTCAGTCTGTATTACTGTGCCAATAGTGATCTAGGGTGAAACTACTGATTTTCTTGTATTTGACTATTTGTTAAGATACTGCTTATATGCTAGTAGCCTATATCACCACCAATTTAAATAAATCCATATGAAGCACAAAAGGTGCATTTATTGAGACTTGAGTGGACAGACACTGAGAATTGCATTCCGAATCATATAGTTGAAAAAGGCCACATATGTAATATTTTAATTGAATTTACCCACATTAAAAATTGAATTTTAATTTGGTAGGCTCTAATTGCTTATTCCACATTTTTGGTCATTATATTTATAGATACTTATGTACTAAAAAGGTTTACCTGTGTATCAAACATTTACTTAATTCCCAACTGCTTTCAAAGTTTGAACATCACACCATTGAATTCTGAACTTGAAAATGTGGAATGCATCAATAAATGGCAATAGAGCAATGTTCAATGACCAACAGCTATTTTAACAGCTATTCATAAGTTTGTGTGGCAGCATGTCTCTACTTTACCAAATTGATATAATGTGATGCTTAAATTTCTTCCTCATTCTTGCCTCGCCTGATAAATTGGAACATAAGTATTTCTAAATTACTTCAGAGTTCGTAAGTTTCTGTGTGCATGAACTAAAAGTTGCATTTGGAGATTACTTTACCATCGTTTCATAATGATTTAGATTTCGTGACACGTTACACTGACAAAATGATTTACTATTTTGTAGGTTAAGGATAACTATCTGTGCTTAACTAAAATTGCAACAAATAGGACAACCTTCAAGCCAACAGTAGCTTGGATGATGTATCAAAATGTATGTTCATGTATATCCCAAAAGCACACATCCATTACTTAATTCTTTCCAACTTCTGATCAAACATGGCTTTTGGCCCTTTGCTTATCAATAAAAATGAGTTAATATTTATGTAACTTACAATGAAATGTCATCTTTGCAGGGTGTTTGGTCTTTTACAAAGGATAAGTATCAGTTGAAGGTAAAGAAACTCTAGAGATCCCATATCAATTATACATATGGCCAAAGTAGAATTTATAAAGGTTAAAGCATAAATAAGCTAACTTTTGGGATTGAGTACTTAACTGTTAAAAATAAAATAAAATTGAACCTTCGATTTTCTAGATAACTTTTAGAATTAGTTAAGCCCAAGCCCAAATTCAAAAACGATAGCAGTTAGAGACTTAAACATAAGTTATGTTTTCGAAGTTCAATTAAAAACTAATTAATTGAACATTATTAACAACCTGATCCTTATTAAACTTTTGAATAATTCTAAATCCTCGTGCCCTTTATTCCTACAATTCCTCCTCTGAATTACTAAATGAAGAAAGTATTCAATATGTTTTATGTTTTCAATATAATATAATAAATGAACATTTTCATTTAATACTTATTTCATAAAGTATTTGGAAGATTATTAGGATATATCAGAGCTCTAAACTTTTATCTCTTTCTTATTGTATTTTAGTTAATCTGGCGCTCATAACTTTGTTTTTCTGGTCTATCACTTTCTAAATTTTTGTTACAAAAAAATTGCAAACAGTACGTGGAAGATGCAGGTGGAGAAATTTTGGATGCCTCTATAAACAAGAACACTTACAATGTCTCTGATCCTGATGACTTGGAGGAATTGCATGCCATCCTATGTGTAAGTTCAATTATATTACTTCAAATGATAAAATTAAATGTAGATATTATCATAAAGAGAAATGTTAATAACACTCTCTAATACACTCTTCATTATTATTGGCTATATAAAGAAGTACTGAGTAGAACTTCGTGAATATTCATGGAAATCGAAAGCTTTCAAGGCAACATCATTAAAATTATTATAACTTTATGTAATAAAAATAAAAGTATAATCTGACTATGGTAAAAAGAATTATGTAATCCTACTATTGATTCGGACTGGCCCAATTCTGAAACAAGTGAAGCATCCCTTTAGGCTCCCATGTTTTTACTTACTAATAATATCTTTTAAAAATAAATAAAAAGGTTACTAATTTCTTAATAAATAATATTAATTTATTTTGTGCAGTTATTTTTTACTAGAAAGAATATATACCCCCACCAAAAAGAACTTTTTTTTTCCCCGTCTTAAATTTCCTTTTCTTTTTTTTAGTTTTTATTGAGTAAATATTATTTCTCATGTAGACCGTGGAAGTAGTTATTGACGAAACACTAACTTCTGATCCATTCAACTACACGTTGTCAACATTCATCCAAAATTTAAATGTTGAAGATCGTTCTTGTTTTTCCTTTATTACAAACACAAGTCTGTGGAGATACGACAGAAGAGTTCAAAATTCTATAGCTCTTGGTAAGTACTTACGTAGAAATATGCATGTGTCTCTTTAAGTGCATGTTTACAAATACTTTAGAAGGTAGAAATTACAACTAATAGTGTTAATAAACATAGAATCATAATTATTTTAATGTAAATTCAAGCACACTCTAAATCTAGTTTTATGAGTGATGACAAAATTACTAGCTTTTCTATCATATAAAATTATGAATTTTGCTGAGTCCTGAGGAAGGACATTGGTTAAGGAATCAAATATTAACAAAAAGAGTAATATTGAAAATCATACTTAGACTACATTAGACTTATAGAGAAAGGTGAAGTTTACAATATTTTTTATAAAAACTTTTAAATTTTTATAATATTTTAGAACACTATTTAGCATTTAACTAAAACAAGGTAGGAATTTTGAAATATATTTTCTTTTATATTTATTCCAATTACTTTAACGGCCAAGAAAAATTGAATTTATTGATTATTGAATTTATTTCTATTATTGATTGAAGCTTGGGCAACTTGATAACTTAATTTCCAATACATGTAATTGTTTGTGTGCATGTGCGTGAAGACTGGTATAATGGAGCAATCTCCCAACCCCAATTGGCACTAGCAGATCTTATTGAAGTTCTATTTCCCACTGGAAATTACACGATGACATTTTTTAGGAACCTTGCAAAGGTATGTTCTAACAGATGAAATTTCAAGAAATTGCTAAGCTTTTTGGTATTTTCAACATCACAAATTATTCATGTCAATTCGTCTTGCAGGGAGAATTGCCCATAAATATTAGTCCTGAAATGTGTGACAGGGACACCTCCACAGCATTGGAGCCAACAATAGTAGCATGTGGATGATTATTCAAAAATAGATATAGAAATGCTAGCAACATATTCTTTTAATATATTTTATAATATATTTCTTGTGATTGATATATTTTTAAAAGATTAAATTAATTTATAAAAAAAAGCAATCACAAAGAGTATGTTAAAAAATATATTAAAAAAATGTTAGTATTTTTCAAAAGGTATACTGTTGTCAACATTCAAAAGTGAAAACTATTCTTTTTGAAATTCTCTTTTTCATAAGATAGGATCTATACCTGTATTTTAGTTTATTATTATTATTTGAAGTCAGCAACGAGTAGCTATAGTTTGATAAATAGAATTCAACAGAACAACCTCTTTCTGGTGGCAATTTATCTATGTTTAAGTTTCTCTCTTGTTTGAACAAACATTTCACCTCCTTGAACCACTCCATTATTTATGAAGTTCTGCAAGTAGTCACCGCTCTGATTTCCCCCTAAACTGTTATTTTATTTATACTTTCGATGCTATAAGTAGGATTTTTTATTTGATAATAAAAATATATGTAATTTTTTTATTTTCTTATTCTCTATAAGCATGCTATTGTTTGGTGTTAAAACCAAAGTTGGAAAGGTAAACTGAAGAAGAGTCCGAAGAGGTTAAGATGATAACTCTTTATCTTAAATATAGATTTTGTCACAAATCATTTTATTGATCACATGGGAATAGTTGCCATTTTGCAACAATACAGAACATATTTTTTAAACTTATATATATATATATATATGAGAGAGAGAGAGACCACTGTCAAGCAGTGTGACAAGATGTTCTTAGCAAATGATTTGCTTTTTGCTTTGTAGTTATGACAATTAAGCTCCAAATATGCTGAAAGGAAGCAAGAGTTTCTTAAGTGAGTTTATGCATGGCTGAAAATTATGAGCTAATCCAAGACTATATTTAGTTAAATCTTACCTTCGCAATATGGACTGTGAACGTTTGCTGCAGCAAGAAAATAAAGGGAAAAGGAGAAAAAAATGTTAAAAGGAAAATCAACATTTCAGTAACTTCAATTTTTTAATAAAAATTTGTTTATTGAATGTGTGGCATACCTTGTGTCTATTTTTTTGATACTCGGTTTCTTGGATACTGGTTGTTGTGGTTCCTGACTTGGAATAGGAATAGTCTTCACCTGTGACATTGACATAGCAAAAGTGGTACCCATTCTTAATATATGATAGTAACTATTCTGCATATGTTTCTAATAACCCAATAGGTTGACTTACAAGGTTTTTGTACATAAGATTGTAGAACATCTTAATGTATCTTTGTTTTCCCTCCTTTTGATCATTATTCATCCGCCTCCAAAACGTATAAATGCTCCCCATATTCAACAACTTGTTCGCATAAATCTTCCATGTATAGCTTCAAAACAAAGCCATGAAAAGAGAATCATGATTGAATGCTGCTAGCCATGCATTATAGGTTAAAAGTACAATAGTAACATAAATGCTAAACAATAACTGTTCTAATCTTGAGCATTGAAATTGATGTTTCATATTTACCATTCATTTATGCGCCACAATCCAGCTGCTGAAATCTCATTCCAATATGTTGAATCTTCTAAGCATTTTTCAAAGAAATCAGCAATTTTATTGCTTGATTCTTCTTCATTATGTGGATCAATATGGAATCCAGAAATCCCATCAACAATAATTTCTGCTGGACCTCCTTGGTTCGTAGCAAAAGTAGGCAAACCACAGTTCATTGCTTCAATGACAGTTAATCCAAATGCTTCATACAAAGCAGGTTGCACAAAAGCTCCCTTTGTGTCAGCAATGAAGCGATAGAGCTCTCCATTTCGGTGTCTATCAGTTTGTGCAGCAATCCATTTGAATTGACCCTTGAGTTGGTACTTTTCTATCAAATCATGCATCTTTCTTATCTCTCCCATTTCTTCCCTATCTTTGGATTTCAAAGGGTCAAAGAAGCCTCCAACTATGACAAGGTTCACTAGGCCTCTCAATCTTTGGTTCTTCCCATACCACTCAACTAACCCGGTTAAGTTCTTCACAACATCAAGCCTTGCCATTGAAAAGATGATCGGTTTTCTTCTATTTTCTAGATATCCACTGTTTTAACACCAATTTGTAGAGAAATTTAATCATTGGAAACATATAGTAATTTTTATTTGAACATTAACCATAGAAGATAAGCTACGAAGTCACTTACATATGTTCATTGTTATCCACTTTACTGTACAATAAGTCTTCAATGGCAGGATGAAATTGAGTGAGTCTTTTGTCTTTTTCTGTGAAAGGGAAGTAGACAGACTGGTCAGCTCCAGGTGCAGCTATGTTGAACTTGGGATCAAATACATTTATCCCTGAAATAACCCTACACAACCCTGGGAGTGTAAATGCAGCATGACTTTCGTATTGTCCTGGTCTATCTTTGCTGCAAAAACAAGAACTTTCAGAACTTAGTATGTTGCAAGCATCTATTGTTTTATATTTACTTATTGATTTCAAGTTATACAAAATGGTTGTAAAAAATAATTGTTTTCTTTTAACGTCACATCTAACCTTCCAGCAATTTCCTGATATGTGCTAGTTATGATGAAATCTGCGGCATTCATTGCAATTGTATCAGCCATGAACTGGCATGAGAAGTGATATTTGGGGTCTATTTCTTTCCAGTTGACATCTGAATCCTCATACTTAGTCTTCTCTAAAGCATGTGCTATAGTTCCCTGGTTTCCAAACAACTTGAGGAATTAGTTCATGCGCAAAAAGGACTACCCTTAGAGTCACAAAAATTGTTGAACAGGAAAATTTCAATAAAGGGGTAGAAACCTGAGTTATTCTAAGTTTGCTCGCCATAAGAGATGCTACCAAATTCCCATCTGTGTAATTTCCAATAATAAGATCTGGTTTTCCTTCCATGAGGTTGAGAATCTTGGCGGTGGCATCCTATTAGTATGAACCAAAACTTGATCAGATGAAATATTCATTACAAATAAAAGCTACCACGTAGGAAGTTTCTTATAACATATGCACAACATGCCTGAGTAAACCTCTCAAGATAAGGATAAATGTCAAAGCGAGAAACCCATTGACGCAAGATGTCTTTATCTGTCCAAAAAGGCACGCGAAGAATATTGCTGTGCTTGGTATCAATGATTGGTTCCAACTCTTGATTGCAATTGGTTCCTTGAGCATCAGGTATGAGCCTTGTGACCTGTCATGGCCATAACATATTAGCATAATTCTATTATAAATTAAGTTGTATAACAAAGTGATCTTTGCTTTCTTTTGCATGATAACTTACCACAAGAATTTGAGGCTTTACATTTAGGCCTTGCTGCTTAATTCTGAGCAGCAACTCTGCTTCAAGAGCTCTAACTTGATCCAATATATAAACAACCTGTTCCAAATTGCACAATGTTAAAGTAAACATTTCCAAGATTTTCACTTAATGACTTAAGTTCAAATGTTACCTGTCCACCAGTGTCTGGCAAGCCAAGAACATCTGCTTGTCCAAAATAACCATGAATAGAGAATATCACAACATTGAAAATTGTAGGAACTCTACTGAAAAACTTCTCAAAGTTCACTGGGTCTGGAGCTTGGAGTATTTCAGACAAAATTCCCATTGTATCCTTCACTCTTCCTGCAGTATCTCCCCAACCTCTCTCAAAGCCACATTCCCTAAGCCTGAGAATAAGATGATATTGATTGTTGAATTAGTGAATTGAAAATACACTATCCACTTTAAGAACTATAAAGTGGCTTACTTTGGCTCAAAATCCTGATAGGGAGTATCCATTGAAATTGCTGAGAGGTATCTATCGGCCACTAGAAGTGCCTGTTGAAGCTTTGTAGAAGAGTTGAGGGTGTGATTTATCATCAAGTTCTACCATTAAAAATGTCAAAAAAGGAAAATGAGCGCTTTAAAATATGTTAATGGAAAAAAGAAAAAAAAAATTGGCAATGTTTTATGAACTTTAATCTTGTGTTATTCCACTTACTTCTCCTTGATGGTTTAGTGATAATAAGTAGTCCACTATAGGCTGTGTTTTGGTCAGTTTCCCACTAAACCTCGAAGTTAAGAACTTGGAAATGAAATGGAGTCCATTTCCTATTGAAGAAGGCAGGCTTAAGTTTGGAATAGGGAAATCAAATGCTCCAAAATCTGCTTCAAATGCGTTTTCATTGTTTGCCCTGCAACAAAGACATAAGGTAATCAAAACAAAGTTGCTGAAATGTGTCTTATTGGTAACGGTGATTTTTATGTGGTAGAATACAAATATTGAACTTTGTTTTTTAGATATATGCTTTATTAACAAACTAGTGCTTCTCTAATTTTACACATTAAAGGTTGGAGGTTTCTAATTTGATAATAACACTCATTTTATTGCTTGCCTTACTTGCCTTACTTATTCTAAATTATGTTTACTAAATGAAGAGAAATGGCATACCAATTTTCATCATATACTCTTTCTTTGAATTTGAGATAATCTGTGGAGGTGATAGGTTCAACTGAAAGGTCCTCAGAATTCACTCTTACAAATTCCCAAACTCCAGGATTTTGCCTTACTGCAAAGGCAACATAAGGTGGATCAACAACAGCTTCCTGCAAGTTTCAGGTGCACAACATTAAAAAAAAACAACAAAGATTAATGATTTAAAATTTAACATACACAAGACCAACACAAAGCAAAGAGAAAAAAACCTGTGTGCAACTCAATAAGAAGCCAAGATTACCCTCCAAAACTTGATTCCTGTCACTCTTGTCATGTATAACATGCTCCATTTCTTCCATCAAATCATGTAGTTTTATAATCCTTCTTCCTTTTTCAAGGTACTTGGTAAAGCACCTCTTCAAATGGTACCTACTTGGCCTCAATGAATCAGGCATGTTATCAGTTACCGATTCTATGTGGTTCAAAGGTGGTGAAGAAGCCATTTCAAGAAAGAGATAATGAAAAAAAAAAATGGTAAACTAAGGTTACGAAATTCCTTGAATATGGTATATGGTTGTTGTTCTAAGGAAATGTGTCCCATTCTCAATTTATATGCATAGCTATGTACGTGTACATTATTATGATTCATGAGATTACATTTTTTGGGGCGAAATTGGCCCCACTGGTGGAGGTATGCATAGGTGCAAGAGTTGGAGAAAGAACATTTGCAAAGGCCAATAGAATTTCTAACAAGGAATAATTGGTATCATTCTTTTCTTTATATCTCGTTGTGCTGCTATGTGTTTGTGTGTGACATGATCCTAAAAAAGAATATGTAAAAGCTGCCATCTACAAGGAACTTCCTTTATTTGTCATACCTTGTAGTTTTAGTTGAGTTTCTTCTAAGATTCATCACGGTATAAGAGTCAATATATCATATTTTATAAATGACAAATGTGGATAACTAGAAAAGTTATAACTTCATACTTATGTTGTTATATTTGGGTAAATTTATAGAAAAGTCCTTGTGAGTGAAAAAAAATTAATATAGAAAAACAAAATTTTTCTCATAAATTAAAATAATTTATGTTTCTTTACTTTTAAATAATTTTTTATTTAATTTCTTTAAAATTGAAAAAAATATATTTTTAATTTATGAAAAAAATTATTTATTTTTATATTAATTTTATTCTATAATTGTTTTTAGAAATTTACTTATATTAGGTCGTTATATTCTACTCGAGGATCCTGGGAAGGACTAATAAAGTTTTACAATTATTATTTGTTATCATACTACTTTTATTTATTAAAATAAATAATAATATGTTCAAATATTAATAAAAATTATTTTGTATTAATAATGCATACTAATTGAATTATTTGCGTATGAGTGTCCCCAAAATCACAATAGAATAAACACGTATATAATTCTTTTATGAAACTTGAGAAGTTGAAGATTTTATATATTATCTCAAAAAAAAATTATAATTATGCTCAAATTAATCATAATTATAATTTTTTGCTTGGGTGAAAGTCAGTATTTGAAAATTTTTATATGAAATATTTATTTTTCTGATATGGTTTAATCTTCTGGTTAAAAGAATAATGTTAGTATTATTGGATAAATATAATTTAAAATGATATATATTACTAATTAAAAGATTTTTATAGTAAATTCAACGCAACAAAAGTTGTAATGTTGAGCATAACTGTACATTATAAACATTTTAGAAATCCTTTAATGTTAATAATGCATATACTCTCATTTAAAAAATTTATTGGATACGTTGGAATTAAGAAGAAACAACGATAAGATCAAAGATTGAAAAATAATATATATTATTATTGGTTGATCTTCAATTTATATGATATATATTTACGAAGTTATATGAAATAGTATATTGATTATTCTTTTATATATATATATATATATATATATATATATATATATATATATATATAAAAGGAAACTAAGATATTAAAAAAATGTTTATAAAAATAATTTAAGATATTCTAAAATATTTTAAGAATAATTAATATACTATTTGATATGTTAACAAAAGATTTGGATCATCTTTCTTTATAGCAAGGATTAGGTGTTTAGTTTTATTTTTACTTAAATGACTCTAAAATTTATTTAAGTAATTTTTTTTTATGTAAAAAAAATTATTATTTTTTTATTTTTATTTAAATAAAAATAAAATTAAACGGCTAATTCCTATTATAATTGGAGAGAATATATATATTATATCCTTTAATAAGATATTTTAAAAAAATTCAACTAATAATAAATGAGTGGTAGATGATAAAATGAATACACCAATATATCTAACAATAATAACCTTAGATAATATTACTAAATTATTGTGTAAAATATTAAACAAAACAGTGACCCATAGAACATTTAGAAACAACATGTAGTTGTGGCTCCAACACAGCAAACCTATCACCACTACAAATTTGGTTCCTTTAAAAAATATTATTTACTTTTTTTTTTAAGTAAAATATATTAAATATTAGTAAGAAATTGACTATATACTAATAAAATTTAGCTTAAATATGTTTTAATTACCTTTAAATAGAGTTTATTTTAAGTAATTATTTATCAATTTTTTTATTTTAATAATTAATTAATTATTTTAATTTTATATTTAACGTTAATTTTCGTCAGTTAAATGATAACATGATTCATAGTTTATCACGTTACTTTCAATCTCTCTTTTTCATTTTATCCTTAAATTTTCATGTCACAGTTTCATATCAGTATTTTATTTTTTTTAAATATTGAAAAAGCAAAAAAATTAAGATTCAAGCTCAAGAAACTCTCATTTTGAAACACTATATGCTTGAATTTTAATCTTTTTTATTTTTTTAAATAAAATACTAATATAAAATCGTAACGTGAAAATTTAAAAGTAAAGTGAATAAAAGAGATTAGAATGACATAATAAACTGTGAGTCATATCACTCTCAGTCAAGTACAAAATTAAAAAAAAATTAGTTGAGTATTAAAATAATTTTTTAAATAAGTAATAATTTAAAATAAGTCCTATTTAAAGGTAATTAAAATATATTTAATCCATAAAATTTTATATAATATATAATTGAGTACAACAATTAAGATTTAATTTCTAATTATATAAGAACTTTGTGAAGTCTATAGACATTAAATATTTTTTTCTTTAAATATTTAAATATTATATGTTTTTGAAATTTTGTTAATAGAAAAATTTGTATGAAAAGGATTTGTTTTTTTTACTTATTTTTTTAAAATTTGAATCTATATGCAGGTTGGGTTTGATATTTTGGGCAGATCCAGTAATGGACTGCAACAACGGCCCACTGGATCACCCCCGAAAATCTCTTCGAAAATCAAGGGTTTAGGGTTTGTTACCCACAAACTACATCAAATTAGGGTTTCGTCGGCGCACTCTTCTTTCATCCCTTTATAAACACCCTCACCAATTCACCTTTCATTCACCACCCTTCTCTCACGAAGTTCCAATCTTTCAAACTGTTTTCGATTTAGGGTTCGTTTCTTGGTTCTGGGTTTCCCTTAGTTGTTTTAAATCACGCGTCAATTACTGATTACCGGTGCTCTTGCTCTTGTGGGTACTGTGTATGAGCTGACGCCACATCAATTCCTTCCTGCAATCCCTTTGTACTGTTTCTCATCCATTCAGTTACCATTGCAGAGTTGGAAAATTCTCTGCTTGTTTCAAAAAGTCTTCAATTTTATTTATTTTGTCGTTTTCTTTTTATTTTATGATGTATGTTGTGTGGGCATGTTTGCATGTTTGTATTTAGATGTAGAGTTGGAAAAGATGTGATGAGTCTTTCCCCATATGATCGAAGTTGATTCTAACTTTGCTATTCACATAGTTCAGTCTTCTTTTTTAGGGGATTGAATTTCCAAGCCAGAACTCTGATCCCTATACCAACTCAATTTAATGGGTAATAGTTTTAATTATTAGTTGCACTAACATGAACGAACATGTGTTACTTTTACATATAAATTTTGATTTGATGATTGTTGTTCGTAATTTTGTGTATGTTTTGTTATTAGTGTCTAGTAATGTGTTGCAATGCAAGATGGACATGATGATTATTTCCCCAGATGATCGAAGCTGAACATACTGTGCGATTTGTTCTCCTTAGAGAAACCAAGCCAAATAAATCTGATCCATCTTTGCATTATGACATTTGTACCTCTATTTAATGGCCTATTGTTTAGCATAAGTTTTGAAGTATCGTGGAGTTTTAGTGCAATGATAGTGAATAGAGTATACAAAGATATTAGAGAGTATGCTTGCCAAAGTCATTTAAGTGTCATTGGAAATTTTGAAGCAGCCTATAGAGTAACGGTGAAAGTTGGAGACTACAAAGGAATGCGGAAAATTGGAGAAATGAGCAAAGGGTATCTGAGACTCTAAAATTTCCCAATTTTGGGATAACGTATTTGGATATTCCGGTCTGTCTATAATTCTCCAAATAAAAAACTACAACAGAAGTTTAATGCTTGTGCTTCTTCACGTGTGGATTGCAAGTTTGGCTCTTCTGTTACATGTTTCGTTTGGTCATCTCATCAAATCAATATTTTTCAAATTCTTATTTAGACAATAATAAATTCTAACTGTTGTTGTTTTAAATTATTATATGTGATATATATATTATTTATACTCATATATGGTATTTTTAAAAAGTTATGAAAATATTTTTAAAAATTGTCTTTCCGGAATTTTTGGTGTAGATATAGAAATAAATGAACAAAAGAGGGACAAAGTATTAAAAAGAAGTCAATTGATGATTTTTTAAAAAAATATATTGAAAGTTAAAAAATTAAAAAAATATTTTTTAAAATATAAATAAAATACTTAAAAAGTATCCAAAGTCGTTACTAAAATATTTCATATTTTTGTAAAATTTTCAAAAATTTATATTTCTGTAATTTAAAAAGAAGAAACACAAATAAAAAAGAGGCGCACCCATGCGTTCTAAATATTGAAGTTTAAAATGTGTAAACTTAAAAACGAAGTTGCTTAAATAATTGTGTTTAGATCCAAATTAACAAAAGATGAATAAAAAAATTGAATTAATTAATTGTTATAATTAAAACTAAAATAAAATAATCCAAAATTAGATTGATTAATTGAATTGAAATTATCAAAATCATTGGCACAACAAAAATCTCTGTTTATTCCTCTGACTGGTGCCCCTATCCGTTTGGGGTTCATAATATAATCAAAGAACCACCACGTTATGTTCCCACTGTAATCTGCAGATTAAATAATCTATGACCTACTTCTATTCCAGATTAATTTTTTTAGAAATTATTATTTAATCGATAAAAAGAGATATTAATTTTATTAACTTATATTATTCAAATATATTCGGAAATTTATTTTTTTATTTAGATTACCAGTATTTCTTATATGACAATTGTACTCTGAATAATTTATGATATGGTGAAATTAACTCTCTTAATCACTGACCAAATTTTTCTATATAAAGTTAAATTTTAGAATATTTATTTTTCTGTAGAATTAAACATTTTTTCAGAATTAAACTTGCATGGTGCAAACTCCATTTTGAAAGGAAAAATTTTGTTGTGATGGACAAACTTCCTTTACAGTGTAATAAATTGACACACAAGATTAGATGGCTTACCCAATAAGTGGATTAGTGACATTAACGTCATACTTGATGATGTAACATTTATTAAGCTTTTGAATAACTTGGTACTTGGATATAGCTTTATCAAGGAAATTTAAGAATTAAACTAATAACAATTCAAGCAATGGAAACCTTCATTCTTCAATTATTATTTGCTACAAACCCAGCCATTTAGAAAAACACTTAAGAAAACCATAACTATTATCATGCAAAAAGCAAACTAATAATTTTATATTAATTAATAGAAATTGAAAACATCTCTTAATCACTGAACCAAGTTCTTCAATTTCTTCCAAGCTGGCCTACCTGAAATTTTCTCCCACCAAGCATTCACATTCTTTCTCTGAATCACCAAATGCCCCATTTTGGCTTCTTCAATCAAAAGTCCAATTCCTGGAAGGTGGCTTAGATCAGCCAAAGTGAAATTATCTCCAGCAAGATATATGCTTTGAGAGAGCCTCTGTTCATAAACATCAAGCACTTTCTCTAGCTTCTTCTCACAGCTTTGAGCCAAGGCCAAATCCCCTGCTTGACCCATCCTTGGTAGGATCACAAGCTGAAACATTATATTGAAACACAAATCATTGAAATTGTGTGCTTCTACTTCAAGCCACTGATCCACCATAGCTCTCTCCTCTAAGCTCTTACCCAATAGGTTAGGACCACGGTTTGCATATTTTGCTGCATAGTACCTTATAATAGCCCTGGATTCTGTACAAGTAGATTTATATTAAGTTCCATTTAAAGGATTTTTCTGTGATATGTTAAATATGTGCTAAGGGGGAATGTGGAGAAAAAATTTTAGTTAGGTGAATTTATAGAAAATTTCTTATAATAAAAATAATCATTATAAAAAATAACTTATCATTTTAAATTTTAGAATAATTAAATAATTTTTAAAAATTCTTTAAAAAATAAAATAAATTATGAGAGATGTTTTATTTATTTTTATACTTTTTTTTTACAGAGACTTTTTTAGAACTTTCTCAAATTAGACCTTATTCCATTTCGTTTTGTTCAAATTAATACTGATTATAGAAAATAATATTTAGTCTTAATGATTGTCGATTAATTTCATCTTTAAAATTGACACTAATTATGAATTTTCAATATTTCCAAATCAATCACTTTAGTTTTTACATTTGATAGCTATTATTTAATTCAGTCCTTGATTGGTACACATTAAAGTTAAAAAATGAATTAACTAGCTTTTAAAAATAATGAGTAATTTTTTTATGATCTCAATGACTATATGGATAAATATTGTTAATTTCATTAACTAAATTAAAAATTTACTTGAAATAAAAATAGAGTGAGATAAAGTTAAAAATATTTTTGGTACTTTCTTACCAAAGAGCCTGAAATCACCATCCTCCACAACCGGAACTTGACCAAAGGGCTGCAAGAAATCAAACATACATACTATAAAGGGCATGTAAATTGAAGTTGTCATATAATAATTACATGATTCATAAAATACAATTAAAGTATTAACACAGAAATGACAAAAAGTAAGAAACAACAAATTAAATTGAAAGTATGTGTGAAGTGTGTGCTGAGGCTAGAAATTCTTAGACCTTAATTAACCAAATTAAGGCACATAAAATCCACCTGTCTGAGAAGGAAGCCAGGTTGCTTTTGCTCTCCTTGGCTAAGATCAACATGAACAATTTCAAACTCTACTTCTTTCTCTAAGAGACAAGCTAACACCCTTTGAGGGCATGCTGCCGTTACTGGACCATAAACCTTTACCACCATTTTATTCCCTCAATTTGCTATGAAAATTGAAAAACTCTGTAAGAGTGATTTTGGCCTCTTATTTGGATGCCACCACTGCTTAATATCTATATAAATACAACATAGCACACGACACAACAACATGTGCTAGAAATTTAAAATCCCATGTTGTTTTCTACACTTAACTTTCCTCGAACCGCATGGAGCGAAGAGCAACGTGGGGGTTGTCACGTGATGCCTCTTCCTTCCCTCGTCTCCAGTGTCTGTTTCATATGTTTACTATTCACATTTTTAAGTCTTAGAAATATTTGAGGTATACCTTTTTCTCTCCTTTAGAAGAAATAAATCAATATGTATTATACTTTCATTTATTTTTGTGTGAAAGGATTCTTCTTGCTGTTTTTTGGTTCTTTCTTATTGTGATTCTCAACACAATCAACTATCTAGTTTCAAATAATTACTATGAATTTTTAAAGTTTAAAAAATATTACAAACATGTTGGATGAAATTTAAAAGTCGATATTAGAGTTGATTAAATCTTCATTTCATCCTATAATTCTAAAATAAATAACACGGTATTCAAAATTAGTTGCTTGGTAATATTGGAGAAAAGAACATTACTCATTTAATTAATTTATTACATAAAAACTTACATCATAAATGTTAAAATAAGTTGATAAAAATTTATAAACATTATAAATCATTTTTATAAATCCAAATAAAATTTATAAAAATGTTTTAAAAACATAATGTGAAAGAACGGTTATATTCATTAATCATTATTAAAAAATTTATTTATTTTATAATATAATCTAATATATAATGTATTTTTCAAAATTTGAAATGTGGAGTTTATAAACTTCCATCGTCGTGCTTCATAGATTTATATAATTGTCGTTCTTCAGTCTTCTTGTTGGTGAGGGGTGAGTTTCTTGATTTATGACCAACAATGACGACGGAACACCAATATGTTTTTTATGAAGAAAATGTCAATACTATATTTTTAAGAACATTTTCAAATTCCTGGGTTTTTATGCTAGTTAATTAAATTTATGATTAGATCAGATAACGATGGAATCGAGTGGATGACCCGTTACAATCAAACAATATTTAACCGTTCAAATTTAGAATATCAAAACCTTGCGTATACATTGAGGTGACATCTCACACAAGGAAAAGTTCATATTACATCAATAACTTCTTGGTAGAACTTTGGAAAAATGAGTCTCATCATTTTGTGTTCAAGAATATCAAAATGTTAATCAAACCAAGAACAAGAATGTCCAAAACCAAAAGATGGGTTAAGATTTGGATATTTCAATCCAATCGATTAAAAGATGGGTTTGATTGACCAAAAACACATAGGTCTGTAATGGCAGAGCTGTGTATCGCCCAATCACTACTTTCTACTGCTCGCAAGCTAATACCGATATAACAGGTGTATATCTATCCATTTTGTTATTGACAAGAAAATAAAAAATAAAAAACTATCAAGTTGACTATTTAAATTTTAAATATAACTTTTTTATTATTAAGCATATAGATTAACTGATAGAAGTTGTTTTTACTTAACCTGTGATTTAAAAAAAAAAATTATATGTACATGTATATTCTAAAAATATATCTCAAAATGCAATAAAATAAATGCATTAACCTTTTTTTAAGGCCAATTCAAAAGTGATTCTACCTCTTTCAAAGCACACAGAAGTCTAGGAATAAGAATGTTAAATTCAAATTTTTTACAGTTTTAACGCGAACTGCAACCTAAATTATATTTTTGTTTAAACAAAATATACAAAAAATAATTTTTGTTCAAATCTTAAAATTGACTTAAGCAAAAATTTAAAATTTTACTTTAGCAAAAGATGGAAGAGGAAGAGTAGGAGGGAAGGAGGGTAGAAGGGAGAGAGTGAAAAATAGACTGAGAAAGATATGGGGAGAGCATAAGAGACTAGGTGGCAGGTGTTCAATATTATAATATTATAGCAGTGTTGGTGACTTAAAGTAGCAAAAGGTAAAATCATGTAAAATTAAGGTTGAATAACAATAAGCATTTTGTAAGTAGAACTGAAGCCAAAATCATTTACATGCTAACACTGAGAACAGATTCAGAAACCATTAGTTGACTTGAGAAATAGTCTTGCATTAGAAAGTGTGAAATGACTTCTAATAAGTCTAATTTGAAAAATCTCCAAGAATCAGTCAAAAGACGATAGTGTTTTACGTGTAAGAGACAATTAATGCAACTAACCAACTTGAACTATAAAGGTTTTTCTTTAGCAGATGAAGAGAAAGGAATAATTGAGCACAAAAGTTTATTCTTTGTTAATAGATGTGACTTCCTAGTTCATTTGTTTTTCTTTTTTAATGAAAATTTGCATTCGACCTTTGATGGCTACCCTCTTCTGATTCTATGTCTCATATTCCTCTTTTGATATCTAAAGTTAAATATCAGGGTTTGCAAGTGGAAAAAGTAGCTTTGTAATCTCTTAAATGACGACCAAAAAGTCCCCCTCAAATGTCTTGATTTTTAATTTTGATGCCTAAACTGTTGAGATCATTTATGTTATGCATCACAACTTGTGATTAATAATTTAATTATCAAATATCTATCCTTTATATATATATATATATATATATATATATATATATATATCTCCGTTCAGCTGATTATTTGTTTTGTTCAGAAATCGAGTTTACATGTCTTCTAAAGTCAAAAACCAATTCTTAATGGATATTTGTTAAAAAAAATCAATCTTAAAAGCTCTATTCTCAATCTTTCTTTGTCTAAATTAGCTGCAATGATTGCTAATAATTAGTCACTTATCTAATAATTAAGTTCTCCTCTCCTTCCGAATATATTTTGAACTTGAAATCATTTGAAACTTTTTACCGATTAATCTGGATCTTCAGTAATATAAAAAAGACATTTAATCTAGAATGAAATGATAATTTCGACCAATAAATCTTAAAATTAAAATATAAAAGTCACATTTAAAATAATTGTGTAACTTTTTTTTCATTGATGATAAAACTTTTTTTTTAATTTTAATTATGTGTGAAAACAGGATATGTTAGTTAGATATATATTTTTTAATTATAAATATTTTTTATAAAACTAATTTTATTTAAGTCAGATAAAATTGTATAGATATTAATTTTTTAAAAATATTTAATACAATTATATTTTTAAAAATTTTGACTCACAATTATTATTTAAACTAAAAGAATCTTACACCAATGGTTTACTTCTGTATTTCAAGTTTTTAAAAATAATCAATAATTTTTTAATTTGAAAGTATTAACTAAAAGTTATTTGAGATTTACTAAATAATATAGGTTTGTATTTATTTAAAAAATTTCGTATAAAATTTACTTAATAATAAAAAATTTATATTAAAAATATATATAGTGTTAAAAGTTTTCCATTTTATTGCCGTGGAGGTTGAAATAATGAAAAAGGATGATTTAAAAAGATATTTGATTGAATTTAATGTTTTCCATTTTATTGGAGTATGCTCAAAATTGTGACAAAATTTTTATAGCTTTTTTTTATCCTTAGACATTTTAATAAAAGTAGTAGGTACATTCTTTTATCTAATTAATATATATATATATATGAAAAAAATATTTAAAAAAATTAGAAGAATTTTTTATGACCTAAAACAAGGTTAATTTTATTTGTTTTTATAATATATTGCTGCTATTTAATTTATAAGTATGAAATTATTTATTATTATTAGTTTAATTTAAATTAAATATGTAAATAATATTTAGAAAATAATTATTATTTTGTTTAAATTTATATTAAAAATGATTTAAACTAAATATTTTTTATATGTAGAAATGTAAGATGAATGAATTTGTTATTATTGTATATTAGAATAGTAGAATTTAAGAAAAAAATGAAAGAGTGAAATTTGAAAGAAATAAAAAAAATTCAAATAAAACAAGAATTAAAATTTAAAACATTAAAATGAATATTTTACTTTAAATTTAATCTTAATTATAATTAAATTATGTGTAAATTAATTTTATATTTGTTATTAATCAAAATACTAGACAATATACACTTTTAAAGATACTATATGATAATGAAAATATCAATTATATGTTAAGTACACGTTAATAACAAGTTAATAAAATTGCTAATAAATTATGCATGAATGTCGCTATTAGTGAAAGTTTATCAATTTTGTCTTAGACATTAGATTTAAAACACTTTTATAACTAAATAATAAAAATCATATAAATTCTGGTTAGTATAATTTTCATCTCAAGTACATATAGCTCTCGTGATAAACAATGTTATCTTGAGTTGGATAGAATTTTGAATTTTGAAAAGGAAAAAAGAAAAAAGGAAAAATGCAGCATCATCTTTCTGATACTATAAAATATTTTATATGATATTCATATATTTTTTATCATTGTTTGTTTTGTTTTCGTTATCCCTTCTGATTCCATCACGAGTGATTATTACTCTTGTTTGTTTAATGCTAAAATTATATTGTGAATACAACAAGTTGGATAAGGTAAAGCCAGTAACTAGTGTCATAAACTTTGGAACCACATCCACAGGATCGATTCTGTCAGATTTATTTTAGTAAACTAATGAATTGAAAATGGAGGGTTCATATTATCATATATGGTTCCATGTCTTCAATTCCTTTGCTAGAATAATGTGAGTATACTTTGCTTTCTACTTTCGGCATCAATTTTCAATTATTCTCATCATTCAGTTTCCCTTTATTTGATAATCTTTTATCATTCTAATGTTTTCAATCCATTTAAACATTTTTAATTATTATTATTATCGGAGGTTGAGATTTCGGTGAAAGAGAAAATAACTTTGGAGCATATTATAGAAAAATATTATAAAATTATTTACCGAAAAATCGTTTGAAGCATTGCATAATAAACATTATTCATGATCTTTTTTTCTTTCAAGTCACTATTATTTAATGAAAGTGGTAAACGCGAAAACATTATTATGATATGAACGTGGGAGTTATAACAACAAATAGACCCCATTAAAGGCAAAGGTTGCCAACTCAGAATATTCTAACAAGATTTTTATTATTACTTTATTTCTCTTACCTACCAATAACATTAATTTAGTATAAGCTATTTGTTCTTGTTATTTTATTTCTCCTAACCACCAAAAATTTCACCATCTTAACCAAAGTCAAGTTTAATTCTCGTTTTATATTTCTAATGCTACTAATTCAAAATTGCAATTAAGATATATAATTGTGTAAAACCTGTGTTCTAGTGTGACCGATAAAAAAATAATATTTTAAAATCATACAATTTTTGTGTGAAACGAAAATTTTTCAAATAAAAAATTATTTTTAAAACTTTTAATTTGACCGAACAAATTTTTAAAGTAAAAAATATCCGTTGGCATACAAATAATTTATATTTAATTATAAATTTTATAATATATATTAAAAGATGAATTTCCAATGACTGTCTCTTCGGCCTCTACTAGAGGAGATATAATGAAACCAAATTTTTAAATGAAAATTTAAAATCAATAATGAAACTATTTAACAGTTCATTCTATCTTTTAAATTTTAAAATTATGATATAATGTTTACAATTTATTATTGATGGTATATTGACTGTTGCAAAAAGAAAGGACAAAAAAAGTTTCTTGAGAGTTTTTTCGATTATTAGAATTTTATTAAAATCAATTGATAATTTTTATATTATTATTTAATTATAAATTGCTATATTGGTAAAGGTCGATAACTTTTATAAAAATACTTTAAAATATATTTAAAAAATAGAATTATGAAAATGAGTTACTCCACCCACTTGGTTGACCCATTGTAGACTAATGAATTTCAGCAGTCTCAAACTTCATAAAATTTGGATTTTTTTTTATTTTTTTAGTTTTTATATTTTATGTAGGTTTTGTGGTTTGATAAGGTCAAACAAAAAAAATATAAATTTATTTTGGACTAAAAATTTAAAAATTAGATGTTACATTTTATTGAACTGATGGGATTGAACAAGTCCATTTTTTTAAAAAATTCTTAATATTATTTTAAATTTTTAAAATGACATGTCAATTTTTTATCAAATAATAAATTTAAAATATTTAATAAAATATATTATTTTCACACTAAATATCTATAGGCATACTTCACTCTTTATTTTAATGAATTTATAAAATTATGGATAAAACCCATTAAATAAGAAAATAAAGTTTACATAATTTTTCAATTTTAATAAGCTTTATTTAATAATACATAAAAATAATACTAAATAAAGAATAAAAATAAAAATACTTTCTTAAAATAAAAAACACTTAGCTTCATAATTTTAATGTGTTTATATATATATATATATATATATATATATATATATAATACTATTTATTAACTTCTAAATTAAAGAGTGCCTGGTCAGCAAAATCCTAATAAATATTACATTAAAAAGATTTTAAAATTATTTATACCATAAATAGTGATGATATTATATGATAATTATTAATTAACAACCCTACTTTTAATTGGTCCATACGAGAACAATATACCCCCACTTGTCCTATTTAATATTTCGAAGTCCTCACTCAAATGTATCATCTGCTACTCTCAAACTCACCATTTCCATCTAATTTGGAGTTCTCTCTCTCTCCGCCATGGTTCTCTCGAAAACTGCCTCCGAGACCGACGTCTCCGTCCATTCAACCTTCGCTTCTCGCTATGTCAGGACTTCGCTTCCAAGGCAAGGCTCACCAGCACCATTTATCACTACTTTTCACACTATTTTCTACACATACTCATCAATTCATTATACTGAAATTAAACAAGTAAATAAATTGATGGGTACGTAGGATCAATCGTTTTCCCATGAATCTGCAATATTTATGTATGAATGCGTGATAGGTTCAAGATGCCTGAAGAATCGATACCAAAGGAAGCAGCGTTTCAGATCATAAACGATGAGCTAATGTTGGATGGGAATCCAAGGCTGAACCTGGCATCGTTTGTGACAACTTGGATGGAACCAGAATGTGACAAACTCATCATGGCTTCCATTAACAAAAACTATGTTGACATGGATGAGTACCCTGTCACCACTGAGCTACAGGCAAGTCTACTCTTTAAGATTAAATTTAAACAATTAATAAAAATATTTTTTATTATATTTATATTCTGATAAAATTTATTATTATATACTTATACTTAATTTCAAAATCAGAAGATCAAAGAATAAAAATTGTTGAATTTGGTTTTTTGGTTTGGTTGGAGTATACACGACTCTTTCTCTGGACTTCATCAGGGTATTATAGCATTTGCTCTAAAGATTCACAAGTGCAGTGGCAGCTCTTTTCTGGTCCGGTCTTAATTGATTTCCCCAAGTGCACGCAACATCGCGTGATTTTAGTAACTTATTTAACTGGTTAATGAAATAATAAAAAGGTATGAAAAGTGGTCCTTTAAAAATGTCGATTAAAAATTATTAAATATTAAAATGCATTAATTTTTTTTAAAAATATTTATTATACCACTATTTTGTTTATTTAAGATTCAAGTTGCACATGTATGATCGTTGTAGTGATATGTAATTGTGATCCTTTATTAAATGCGTAGCTTTTATTGACTTTTCCTTACTAAAATTTCTTTAAATCTTCACTAATTCAAACTAAGTAAGCTATATATCTTAAGAAAATAAAACTCTTTCAATTCGAATTTATTTAAAGGGAGCCGAACTCTTTATCCCTCAAACGAACAAGATTTGGTAAAATAAAAAATAAAAAATTAGAAGTATAAATGTAACTAAGCTTTTAAATGTACAGCAAATTTAAATTTCATCCTTTTATTTTATATCAAATCATTAAAGGTTACATTAACTGTATATGTAAATTAATTATATTATTTTTTAATAGCAAAAAAATTAATTATATTATTTTTTAAAAGGTTTCTATTTTTTTAGAGAAAAATTATTGGTGCTTAGCTGTCTACTTACAAATTCAAAACAATATTAATTATATTTTTCCAATTACATCCTTATGTATATTCTTTAGCAATAATAAATATTCCACTGATATAAAATAGATAAAAAAAAAATATGATAAGAAGTTTACAAATAATTTTTAAGAAAATAAAATCATTAACTAATAACTATACTTTTTAGGAATTATAAATATTAGTTGGGGAAATTATTTTCTCTCTCGCATCCTTTATGAATAATGCATAACCTTACAAATTATGCATTATGTATTATTATATATTAAATTTTCCTTAAAAAATATTAAAAATGTGCATAATATAGTATAATTAATTTTAAAAAAATATTGAGAGAGACATAAATTAATTAATGTAAAACTAGGAACGATATAAATTGATAGTTGTGGGTTCAACGTTGAAGCTGTCAGTCTTGTGAGGTCTATTTTGATCCCTTTCCTTTTGCACTTGTCGCCTATCCCAAGTAGAGTCTGCTTTACTTGTGTCTCGTAGTCTCATTGGCTAACATTAAGAGGATTTTTTTTATATGAAAAAGATAAAAATTAATAAAATATAATGTTTTGAAAAAAAATTATAAAATACACTTTTTTTAACAATTATTATCGACAATTTTTATTTTTAATTTTTTATAATTTTTTAAAAAACCACTGTTAACAAAGTATGTATGTATATATATATATATATATATATATATATATATATATATAAATTTTATATCTCATATACAAAAAAAAATTCCACATTAAGAACTGATTTATTTTTTTAAAATCTAAGAAAATCACTTTCGTTCAATTTATTTCTTAAAAGGTATTTTAATTATTAACTTATTATCTTAAAATTGATCTTAAAATATATAATTACAATAACTGTTTTTTATTTTATTTTGGAAACAATAAAAAAAAGTACTCAAGAATATCTCTAAATGTGTTTTCAATTTTTAAAATATATTAAATTTTGATTTTAATTTCTATATAATTTTTTATATTTAAAAAAAATTATTTTGATTCTTAGTTACTATTAAACAATGATGCGGTTGACTCAAATTTTATTACATGTCAATTTTTGTTATGCATATTTTTATAAAATAACGGTACTGACAAAAATCAAAATTACCAAAATTTGAAATTAATATGTATATTTAGTTTGAAAATTTTAATAAATAATAATATTTTTATTATATGTATAATTTATTATATTAATTAACATGAATTTATAAAAAATGAAATATTAAAAATTTTCAATTAAATACAAATTAATTATTAAAAATAAAAGTATAAAAATTATTTGTTAATTTAATAAACTAATAATGAAAATAAAATCATTAATTGTAAAAACAAAAAAAATTATTTTTACATATAAAGAAAACCTTTTGTTTAGTTTTTTTTTTTCTGGAAATGTATCGTTTTGTTGACCATTCATTTTCTGCATTTTGTTTTTTAATACCCTTTTAAATATGTATTTTATTATAAAATGAAAATTTCCATTTAATACATCCCATCAATAATTTTGATAAAAGTATCCTTTACGTTCTAAAAAAATGAAAATGAATACCTTTTGTCCACACGACACGGGTCATGCCCGATATTGAAGTAATATATTATTTTTGGTGGGGTTCTTCACTTTATTTCTTTGGATATGTTAACTTCATTGCTTAGAATTGGGAAAGAAAATATATATTATTTTATAAGTACATTTCCTATTTTAAAAAATAAATACCATATACAATGTTTTCATTTTATACTTATTTTTCATTCAAAATGTTATTTTTGCTTAAAAGTGATTATTAATATTTATTTATTTATTTATTTATTATTTGTCAGTAATAATATTTCCAGCTGAGTTGCCATAATGGAAAAGTAGTGCGTGACTTTGACTAGAGCACATCGTATGTAAGAAGATACGATAAGAAAAGAGGTGCAACCGTAATCAATGGTGAGTGGAAAGCACTTTGGAGGACCCCAAAAAATGTTGATTAATTAAAAAACAAAGGCACAAATTAAGGCACAAAGTCCTGCGAAAACCATGATTATAAGACTCAAATAAATGGTCTCATGTGGTCCATTCATAGGCTTAGTTACTTTGATATTTTCTTTCCAAAAACACATTAATCAGACTAATTATGAAACAAATAAATATTAATTCACAACTTAAAAGAATTTTCTCTTCGTATTGATACATCATAACATTTCTCATTATTTTGCTACATTGTCAAACTTCTAATGATTTAAAGGCTGATAATCAAAATTCTTGAAAAGTTATTTCATATTTTGTTGAATGTCTTTCAGAAAAATATTTCAATTTTCTTCGCTTACTGCCATTCTTTTTGAATTTTCTTTTAAATTTATTAGTAGGCTACTGTTTTATAATACCTGTTTAGTTTAAAATTATGTAAAATAATTTTAAACTGCTAGATGTAATTAAAAGATAAATTAAAATGAATTTTTTATAACTCTAAAATAATCAGTCCTTAACATAAATAATAATAATAATAATCATCATCAGCCCTTAGACTTTTGGAGTAACTGTGACGGTAGTGCGAATGCGCAATGCATTATGAAGGGACACGCGGCGTCTCTACTTTATCCTACGTTACATTGTCCATTCTCTTTTGACTGTACCTATCATAACGTTTGATAATTGAAATAGTCATATGATGTTAAGTAGCAACATTTATCCCACACCTGTACCGAAAAAATCTAGTGTGCTGCACTGCTGAAGATGAAGACATGTTAAACAGTTTAGCATTTTGTTGTACATAGCATGTTTCAGCATGCATAGTGCTTGCACTACTAGCTTTGTAGGTATTAGCATTCATTGCACTAGTAACAGGAGCTACAAATAAACAAAAATTCATATGAAAGAACTTTCTAATTAACTATGATTTTTCTTTTTTAATTTTTTAAAATAACAGTTTTGTTATCATAATTCTTTAGATTGATTTTAAGTATGCAAATTTGATAATTTTTTTATTAAATAATAATTATTATGTTTTTTATTTTTATTTTTTTATTTTTAATAAAATATATTATTTTTAGATATTTAAGATCAGTTTTACAAATTGATATTAATATTTTCTATAAAATAATCCATGTGCAGATGAAAAAGTCTATGGAGCCATTTACAGTAACAAAAGTTATGAAAAATCCATGACAGTTGAATTGTTTCAATGACTTCAACGCCACTAATTGTTTATGCTTTGGTTTTTCTTTGTACTGCTTCAGTTAAGGGTACGAAACAAATGACCATTTGTGATTTATGTGCAAACAGAATCGGTGTGTTAATATGATAGCTCATCTTTTTAATGCACCACTTGAGGAGTCACAGGCTGCAATTGGTGTTGGCACTGTTGGCTCATCAGAGGCCATAATGTTGGCTGGGTTGGCGTTCAAAAGGAAGTGGCAGAACAGAAGGAAAAAGGAGGGAAAGCCTTATGACAAGCCCAACATTGTCACTGGAGCCAATGTTCAGGTACATTTAAGAAACTTATTTTTTATATATATTTTTGGTACAATAAATAAAAATATAAAAAATAAGAGAGAAGTGTGAGATTAAACTAATAATGAGACAAAAAAAGAGAGAGTAAAAAATTAGTGTTATATGAATAGTACTATAACTCTTAAAAACATTTTTATTAATTATTTTGGCATTGTTCAAGAGCATAGCTTAAAGTATCTAGCATTATTTTTTGAGTAAGGAAACGACCAGTGTTTTGATTGTGTTCCTGTGAAGGTTTGCTGGGAGAAATTTGCTAGGTACTTCGAGGTAGAATTAAAAGAGGTGAAGCTGCGTGATGGATACTATGTAATGGATCCTGAAAAGGCCGTCGAATTGGTGGATGAGAACACCATTTGTGTTGCTGCTATCCTTGGTTCCACACTGAATGGAGAGTTTGAAGATGTCAAACGCTTAAACGATCTCCTAATTGAAAAGAATAAGGAAACTGGGTATCTCTCCTTTTCTATCTCTACTCTCACTTAAATGCTTCTTACTTTGTACACGAGTTTAAATATTATCTAATGTTATATAATCTTATAATGCCTTATAAATCTTTCTAATATTTTACAAAGAAAATATTAAATGAAAAAATAAATGTATTTAATACTTGAAAATACAAAAAAGAGCATATTGACATGAGAAATTACTTTTAAATTATAGATTGGATGAATTGACATGAGAAATTATTTGGTAGATGGGACACTCCTATTCATGTGGATGCAGCCAGTGGTGGGTTCATTGCCCCATTTATTTACCCAGAGCTTGAGTGGGACTTCCGGTTACCACTAGTGAAGAGCATCAATGTTAGTGGCCATAAGTATGGTCTAGTCTATGCTGGAATCGGTTGGGTTATCTGGAGAAGCAAGGAGGACTTGCCTGAGGAACTGATCTTCCACATCAACTATCTTGGAGCTGATCAACCCACCTTCACCCTTAACTTCTCCAAAGGTAACAAGTAATTGAATTCTAAAGTTGCTACTTTACTGTTCATTATTAATGTCTCTCACCTCTCACTTGAAATGCCTCCCTCAGTTTGTATATACTACTAAGATCAAGGCTGATTTACTTGACCTTTCTATCATGACCATTTATTAGTTTACGCATGAGTTTACTCATTTCTTTCACAAAATATGCAATGCAGGTTCTAGCCAAGTCATTGCTCAATACTACCAACTAATTCGCCTTGGTTTTGAGGTATTAACACCAACTACTTGTACACTCTTTAATATATTCCTGAGTTGAAGACTTAAAGTTGAAATTTCATTCCGACAGCTCACATAATAAATGTTAGCGTAAAAAAGTGGATTTTAATAAAACTTAAATGGCTTGTGATGTGGCACTCTAATTTTTTTTTTTTCATTGTACTGTACCTAAAAAATTATACCAATAAAAAAAAACATGTGATGAGTTATAAAAAAAAATATTATTATATATAATTTATTATTAAATATTATTAATTAAAAATCTTTTTGTTTACGGTACTTTAAAAATTTTTAAGGTACTACAGAATTTACTAACTTAAATTTTAATTAAAGAGCAATAACAAAAGTTACAAAGGGTATGTTAGAATTGCATATATGCTTTATTCTTTTATAAATCACAATCAATTTAAAAAACAAACGTGTAAGAAAAAGGGTGTTATTAGAGCATGTGTTGCATTTCTCATCCACACACATAATTTTCTGAAAGATTCAAAGAACCTGATGGTGTGATGATATCTTTACATAATTAAATGATTTGCAGGGATATAGAAACGTGATGGAAAATTGTAGAGACAACATGATAGTGCTGAAAGAGGGACTAGAGAAAACGGGGCGTTTTGAAGTAGTGTCGAAAGACAACGGTGTGCCATTGGTGGCATTCACATTGAAAGATCACACCCACTTTGATGAATTCCAAATCTCTGACTTGCTAAGGCGCTTTGGGTGGATAGTGCCAGCATACACAATGCCCCCAGATGCTCAACACGTGACTGTGCTTCGTGTTGTGATAAGAGAGGACTTCTCAAGAACCCTTGCGGAGCGTCTTGTGGTTGATGTTGAGAAAGTTTTGCATGAACTTGATTCACTTCCAGCTAGGATTATTAGTAGCACCACCACTACTGTAACAGTTAATGGAGATGATGCAAATAATGGCAAAGTAGTTGCTAAAAAGAGTGCTATTGAGACCCAACGGGAAATCACTGCGGTTTGGAAGAAGTTTGTGTTGGAGAGGAAAAAGCTCAATGAAAAGATGAATGGTGTTTGTTAGTACATGCATGCATGTGTTATGTAAACTTGGAATGTAATGTGTTGGGTCTACGCATGCCTTAATTAGTAGTTTTATTTTATATATCATATATAGATAATTAATATGGGCATATTAAGTACATTTGTTTGAGTCAAGTGATTTTATGCTTCAGTTGTTAATTTGATCCGAGGAAAGATCAAATCAGGGATTCATCTGGTTAACTATTGTTTACTTTAAATTATGAGAAATGAATTAAACGTATCTTTCCCATTAGTTATTTTTTGTTCTTCATTAATATTATTAAATTTTATTTTTCAATATTTTTATTAATTTTGATCTTTAAAATGTTTATAATAATTTTTATCATATATCACTTGATAACAATATAATGTGTATTTATAATCTTTAAAATAGTTATATTAATAATTATTTTGGAGTAATATGATGTTATATTTTTTGATACATGTCACATCTTTATGTGGCATATACTATTCTAAAAAGTAAAATTTAAAATTAACAGAAATTGTTCTGGCAAGTAGGCTTAAGTAAAATTTTAAGTTTGGATTTTTGTGTATGTAAAAAAATTTTAATAATAGACTCACCCACCACATTCAAGTAAGCAACTCAGGTCGGATTTAGACTAAACTGGGTAGGAAATTAAAAAAAATTGAAAATAAATTTAATTTACAAAAACATAGTTAAAAATAATTTTTATATTTTTAATTAATTTTAGCATTAATAAATTTTTAACATTTTAAAAATAATTTTATTTATTATTTAATAATAATGTGATATATATTTAGTTATGTGAAGTTAATATTTTTAGGTAACATGTGATGTGACTTACATATGTCATTTCATAATAATTAATAATTTTTTAAAAATTAAAATGTATATAAACTAAAACTAATAAATTTTTAAAATATTAAAACTATAATTAATTATATTTATGAGATTAAAAACATATTTTACTTTTTAAAAAAAATACGAATACGTCCCGTGTTCAGAAAACTATCAACCAAGGGACCCATTGACTATAGAGTTTTCAAAATCCACCCTGCTTATTGAGTTGAATAAGCTCAATCAACCCAAAAGATGGTGCTTACCCAAAAAGTGTTTGTCCATTTTGATCTCTAATTTCTAGTTGAATATAGAATTTTGAAAGCAGAGCCAAAAAGGTTGTTTTATCTAACATGGGTCATATATATATATATATATATATAAACTATTCCTCAAGCTAAAGTGGACATAAATTTTAGGTCCATAAAACGCCAAACCTTTTCGACTTAGGCCAAGTGGTCTTGAGGAAGAGTAACATGCTTTGGTAATTCAAGAGCAAATTCACGTAAAAAATAGAGAAATTCAAAGCTGCAAAAATAAGCAAACGGCACATAAAGCCCTTTCGAACATAAAAAAAAACAGTAGTTAATGTAACGGAACTAAGCTACAATCTAAACAAATTTTATTTACAATATTAGAATTAGAATAATCTTGGTATAATCACTTTAAAAGGAAAATTTTCCTATCTACTACGTGCCTAAAATTGCATCAGTTACTAATGATGTCAAAAGAAGATTTAAGTGATGCCAAAGCAAAGAAACACAAGCTATTTAAGCCAAAATAATGTATTTGGTGGAATAAAAACTAGACTAAACTTCCACTTGAAGTATTAGAAAAAAGGCATCATTCATTGGTTTTTGGCATTTTCTATATAATACTTCCAAGCGTAAAAGATCTAGGCTTACACTAACACAATGATCCCCCAGCTTCAGTCTTCAAGTCTAGCTGTCAATACTACAGAACAAATAAAAAAATGAAGAAAAAAATATTGAAGCAGTAAAAGATTCACTAACTCCATGGACAAATATCAACAATATAGTTGCGATGTCACCATCAAAAAGTTGTAACATGAATGTTACCGACTTGCAGCCACGGGTAATTTGAAACTGTAACAAAAAGGGAGGAATAAACAAGAATTCCACCAGATGGGATGAGTTATCACTTCAGTGCCAATTTTTTATGAAGGACAGTACTATATGATATTTGAATCTGAAGTATCCCTACTATCAACAAAGAGAAATTAGACTTCAATTCCCTTCCAGTTCCATAAATTTCTAATGATGCTTTTTGCAGATTAGCAAGATGAAACAAAAAGGACTTCTTACCACAGCTTTATACCGAAAATTTTATGTTAGAAAGGAGAAGGGTTCAGAGAAATTGTAGTCTTCATTATGCCATGTTTAATCAAATCTAATTGTCCAAAGAAAAGAGTGTTTAGCATCATTTAGTTAATTCAAGCTTGCTCTAAACCACTGGACACGAATTAGAAGTGGAACAGTGGTATATGCAAATCCACAACCTTCCCTAGATTGCATGTAACACTCAACACCAAGATCCATTTAATTTGTGTAAAAATGTACAACACCCGCACTCTGCCATAAATTATGAAAACTAAAGGCAAAATTGCATAACCCCAAAATTCTTTCCTTTCTTAAGGCCCTTTAATTGTATGTTATTTGCGTTTACATATATGAACAAAAGAATACATATCTCTCTATCTACATTTAGATTCAATAATTTAAAAAATGGCAAGATATCAGATATAGACTTCCATCACACTAAATCTCTATCATTGAAGCTGTTCTCTGATGATGAGGAGGAGGAGATGGTGATCACAGCATCATTACAGTCAGATTCACTATCTTGCAAGCTCATTAAGAGGTGGGAAGTACTATAGCTAGTAGAAGGCTTGGTTCTAGGGACGATGGGCACTTCAGCCTCACCAAGCAGCATCTGAACTACACACCTCATAGTAGGTCTTGCCATTGAATCAGGGTGTGAGCAAGCTAGCCCAACCAAGAGTACTCTCCTCATCTCCCCTTCCTCAAAGTCGCCTTCAAGCCTCGGATCAGCAGCGGTTAGCAACTTACCTTCCTGATGCAAACTCCAAATCCATTCTACCAAATTGCTGCTAATACCAACTTTACCAGCCCCATTAGCATCTTTTTCAATAGGTCTTCTTCCACTAGCCACCTCAAGAGCCACAGCACCATAACTAAATACATCAGTTTTCTCAGTGGCTTTACCTGTAAGGACATACTCAGGCGCAAGGTATCCCATTGTCCCGGCGGCCACGGTAGCATCAGGAGACTTGTCATGCTCCGTCTGCCTTGCTAAACCGAAATCACCTAACCGGGCATTGAACCCTTCATCTAACATTATGTTACTAGTCTTAATGTCCCTGTGAATTACTTGGTTTTCACACTCATGATGCAAGTAGGCCAAAACAGATGACACACCTAGCAAAATTTTGAGCCTGTGAGGCCAAGATAAAGGTATTCTAGCCTCATACAAAGCCTTATCTAGACTCCCATTGGGCATCAAATCATACACCAACAAAATTTCACCTTTCTGATGGCACCAGCCTTGAAGGTGAACCAAGTTGCGATGCCTAAGACTCCCAATTATGGACAATTCAGACAAAAACTCATTCTTACCTTGACCACTGTGGTTACACCTCTTGACAGCAACAATGTCACCACTATCTTTCAAAACACCCTTATAAACAGTCCCAAAAGCACCATGACCAATGACCCTATTTGCACTGAAGCATTTAGTGGCCACCTTAAGCTCCTTGTAGCTAAACTCTTTAGGCATTCTAATGATCTCAGACTCAATTGAATCAAACTTCTTCACATGCTTCACATTCTTAGAATACACCCAAAACAATGCACCAGCAAAGAGAGCAAGAACGAAAGCACCAGCAGTTACAACCCCAGCAACTGCTCCCACACCTTGCTTGCACAACCCACTGTGGCATGATGACTTACTCTCCTTTTGCTCAACAGAAGGAGCCAAAGACGGTGCTGACGAGGCGGCAGGAGGTGACGGCGCCGCCGTGGAATCAAACGAGGAGTTAAAACTCCACCATTCAACACTGTGAACCTCTGTACTACCTTGGGTAGACCCAGAAAACCCCACATACATGAAATCATTAACGTACATACCAACATCAAGATCCACCCTCAAAATCGGATCTTTGGGTTTCACATTCGAGTATGAGACCCACACGCGCAACCCTTTGCTGTTCCCATCGTATTCGATCCACGCGCTCACCGAGTCACCGCTTTTCAGATCAATTCCGATGGTTCCCAAGTCGCTAACTTGGTTCGAAACGACGCTGTTTAGGTCCAACCCAACATGGTTTCCGTTAATGTCGTTGAATTCCACGTCCATTAGGGTGTCAAATTCCACGGCGAGGAAACCTCCGCCGGCGCCGGCGGAGGTCTCAAGGCCAAGGTAGCCGCCAGGGTTCCCGACAACGGTGTCGTCCGGCGAGATGACAAAGGCGAGGCCGCCGCCGACGGAGGAGGGGTTGAGGTTGGTGACGGAGAAGGAGAAGAAGGTGGCGAAAGTCACCGGAAAAGGGTTTCCCGCTTGGCGGAATCTAATGGGGGTGGCGTAAAGGGCTCTGCCGGCGGCAGAGTTGGGGACGGCGGGGTCGCCGGTGAGGCTGACGGTGTTATTGTTGAGATGGGCATCGCCGAGAAGCTTGAGAGTGCTCAATGTTAAGGTTCCAAAGTCGAATTGGGTGGTGGCGGTGGCGAAGATGAAGAAGATTGAATATACATTGAAAAAACTTAGAAAGATGAAGAAGAGTACGTTATTGGGAATTGAAAGTTGTGACATTGCTGAATTGTGATGAAGGGGCATTGAGAAATGGTGATAGATATTGTGGTTCGGGGATGCCGAGGAAACAGTGGAAGTGAATGGTCAAGGTTGTTGTGTTGAGTTAAACCTTCACGGGTGGTGGTAAGAGACTAAGAGTGAGTGTTTTTGTTATGTTGTGTTTTATTGATTGGGATCCAAATTGTAGAAGACAAAGTATGGGGAAAACAAAAGAACAAAACAAAGAATGAATGGCAGAAAATTCAAAGGAAGAGTGGAGCAGAATGGTGGGTAGCAGCACTCACTATTCTCTCTGTGGGTGTGGGTGTGTGTTCTCACTGTCATAACGGTTATTCTTTCATCGCCCCCCAAAAGAGATTGTAAATAGTGTTTTTCATTTGCTTAAAAAATAAAAGATAAATGGATTAGATAGTTTCGGCTAATTCAATATGATTATGAACGTTTTGGTGACTGATATTTAGATTAATGTATCAACTGTGTTTATTATATTTAGGTGACTGAAATCATGTAAGTTCAAGTATAAACATAACATTTCTCTCGTTAATCAGTATGTTAAAAGAATTAAAAAATAATAACATTTTATTAAAAATGTGAATATAAAGTATATTGTACTTTTTAATAATTTTTTTATTCTTTGATCAATATTTTAAGGTACTAGTTAGTATTTTTTTTATATGAATATAATAGATGGAGATATGATAATATTTTCGTTTGATTGGTTTATCGTTGACAAATTTTGGAATTTTTGAAAAATTCAAAAATTTTAAAACTTACGTTGTAATTAATGCCTACTGTTTGGATTTTTTCCAGTAAACTCAGTTGCGTTGAATCAACGCAAATACAAATATACATTAGATTGTAGTTTAATTCTAAATTAGTTTTTTCGAGGTTTGAATATGTTTTTATCTTAACAAAATTTTCATTTCAAACGATACTTTTTCTTATATTTTGATTTTAATATCTTCTATTGAAGTAATTTAATAAAAAAAATGATTCTTTTAATGAATTACATCAACAATAAAAGATTATTCAATTATAAGTAATAAAAATATAACTAAGTCTTTTATTTTAAAATTTCAGCTAAAAATAAAATTGGCAAATGCAGTATGAATTTACTTTTCTTCTGGGATTTGAAGTAGACCATGAAAATTAATACAATTTGGTAATTCTTTGCTATTTAGTTAATAACTTGATGTTGGATTTTTTTCCCCCATAAAATCTTTATCATGCTTTGATTTTGTTTGTAGTAACACACACACTGGTCATCGTCGACCAAATAATTGGATAAGCTCACAAGGATAATAAAATCAATTGAACATTCTTGCATTCTTGAAGAGAAATTGAACGAAGAATCTGATAACAAAACCCATTATTGTTGAAGCACTTGATGTAGACTAACACAGTGAATGTGAAAACAATAACCATTGTTGTTTAGACCCACCACGTCCAGTGAGACAGCAATGCACACTGATTAGTCATATTTTCATGGCTGCAACAAGCTCAGTGCTTGAAAGCTAATTGTTTATGTTTATGTTTATGTTTCTATTACATAACAAAGAGAAATTTTTGTTTGAGTTCAATACACCTATAGTATAGTAAGATTAATTCTCCAATATTTTTTTTCCTATACATAAAGACTCAAAATTATGACTCAAAATACACCTTTAAACACTGTTTTAGGCATGGGCAGGTTGATATTTCATTTTAATGAGCAGATCATATGTTAATGTTTTACTCCATTGATAGCTTTTTCTACAGCATTGGTATGGCTTGCACTTTCCCAAATAGAAAGGAATAAAGGGAGAACAAAAAAATATTTCTTCTTTTTGCCTTTTTAATACAAGGATGCGTACATGAAAAGGATTTCTTTTATTGCTTTTTACTTTTATTTGGAAGGGGGTTGGGGTTGATTTTCCCATTACTTTAATAAATTTGTTGAAAAATGCTAATTAATACTCTTATAATACTAATTAAAGAATTAAAAATGTTATAGATGCGTTTTTAATTAATATCTTTAAAATATTGATTAGTAATAAATTTATTTTTATTGCCAAACATGTGAATTCAACGTTGGGAGGTGATGGAAGAGAGAGGAAAGCTTCAACGTTGGAAATTGACAAACGCAACATTTGCTCAAAGAGACGTTGCAGAAACAGTGCTTTGAGAATTGATATGCAAGAAACTTGTGTTTTCAAACATTATAATAATAATAATGAGACAAATGATCGGTTTGATAAATGCGATTGGAAGAGTGAAGAAACTAAATTTTCAAGATTGACATCATTGTGCTGTGCTCTTACCACTTCAACAACTCCAAAAGGTTTGCATTGGTGGAGCCAACCTTTGGGAGTTTTGGTTCCCATTCTTTTACTCAAACACTGTCATTCTCAGAGAGAAAACATACAGAGGACTCTAACTCACTCCTACCTTGCATCTTTAATTATTTTGCTCCAACCACCATGAGATGCAATATTTTACTACTACTAAATATTACTTGTTGAAACAATTTTATTTCATTAAATAAATAAAAAAGAGTCAAGTATGAGTATGATCATATTCACTGGACATAAGTATGAACACTAAAATTATTACTATATCATTTTTTAAATATGACTCTTTATTAATGCAGATATTTCAATCCCTCTGCTTAAACTCTACCTAACCCTGTTTAAAAGAATATAAAGAGATGAGAAGTTCACAGATGACAACACCTTGACAAATAGAGATGTGAATTTGTCAAATATTTGACTCATCTAACCCAACTTAATAATTTGATGGATAAACTTAATTTTCACTAATCCAGATATAATTTTGGATGGGCTTGACATTTCAATACAAATCCATGAACTTTTATGATATCCATCAAACGCAATTTATTACGAGCACTTCGTCCTAACATCTTCAAACTACAACATTTTATTTTCTTGAAAATGATAAATTTGTTTTTAGAAAATGTAAGGAGTTGTAATAGATTATAAGTATATTTAAAATTTACTTTTCTATTGTTTTTATTAATCTCTCTTCATTTTTTTTTATCTAAAAAAGTATTATTATACTGCGCCTTAGTTTATTGCAATCTCAAATTATCTCTTCGTGACATTGTTGAGTTTCTATTCATAGATGTTGACTAAGTTTACCATTCTTTGTAAAAGTTCATGATGAGATTTAACGAAACCAAGACGATAAAATTAGACAATTTATTTATTTTTTAATTGGTTGAACGTAATTCATAAGTTTTCAGTTTAGAGTGGATATTCGTAATTAACCCCTTCTTTTTATAATTACTTTTGATTAGATTGGGTGAGATTCGCAAATTTATGAACTGACATTTTCACTTAGAAAATATCAAAGTAGTGAGTAAAAAAATATATTCAATTGTACAAAAACTTGCATTGATGAATCAAAGCTGTAGACGGTGATTATTGGTCATAGGACAAAATATTGAGGAATGATGAAAAAAAAAACTATTGATTAATAGGGCCACGATTTTTTTAAATAGGTAAAATATAGAAAGAAAAATGATGACTAAAATTATACTAGTTTTATCTTAGAATTTAGAAAATTGAGGATAAACAAACTTTAAAAACTTTATATAAAATTCGATTTAATTACATTGTCATTTTAAAGGGTGAGTTTTAGCCTGAACTACTTTAAAATGGGTCAATAAATTACCATTGAATATATAACTTATATCATAAATGACAAAGATTAATCGGTTGTAATTTACTATTAAAAATTAGAATTATAAGTTATGATTTTTATAAATAAGTCCATATTAAAAAGTAAAATATATATATATATATATTTTTTTCTCGATTTTTTTATAAGAAACAAAAAACTAAATTATTAAGATTAAGGAAAGTAATTAATTCTATTATATTTTATGTAAATATAAATTTTATTTTAAAAGTATTTATGATATTAAATGATATAGTTAATAATTTATATATTTAATGATACTAATAAAAGAAAAGTATAAAAAAATTTAATAATTAATGTATTTTGAATTTATTATTTATTTTTTATAATAAGGACAAAAAAAATATTTTATTTTATTTTTTATAAAAAGGACAGGAAAGAGTATATATATATATATATATATATATTAAAAAAATTAATTTATTTTACAAAAAAATTGTATGAGCGCAACTAAAAAGCATGAGAAAATAATCCCAAGTTTTTGTGTTGTTAAGCAGCTTCAGATGTGGGCTTGAAAAAATTGACTATTCATAGCTAATAAGCTTTATGGAGCCCATGAGACTTTTGAACACGGGCCAGTTTGGTTCGCTGGACATATGTGGTCTTTTTTGTTTTGGTACATATAAAAAATGTTGACAAAAAATTGTATTATTCTTTATTAACAAAAAATTACTATATTATATTAGATTATTTTTTTCTCTTTTAAGCTCTTAACATTATCGACAATAAATCTTGAAATTATATAATAAATTTGAAATTATAATAAATAAAAATAAAAATAAAAATTTTCAGTAAAACTTAAATTTTGTAATATAAATATTTAAAATATTATTTTATTATTGAATTTAGATATTGTTTATATGATTATCAAAATTAGTTATTGAGAGCATTAAAAATGAAAAAAGAAAAGAAATACACTTTTAGAAATTTCACTTATAATTGTTCATTACCACTGAAAATTTTATTTCTATTAATATGAATTAAAATGTAACATCTATTAATCTCTTAATGTTAAAAATAAAAATAAATTTATTTAAATATTTTTAAAATAAGTTCACTATTCGAAACAAGGCGCGTAATATTACTGTTGATCGTTGACATTGATGCCACACCAGATTGACAGTCTTTTGCGTTAATTTGACATTGTGATATGTCATTTTATTCTTGACAAAATCAATAAAAAGGGTGTATTTTAATTGGATGAAAAATATTGCCATTTAAGAAAATAATTGTTAAATTTTGTTTTCAAAAATGTAAATTTTTTATTGATTTATAAAATATTAGTTGAATAGTATGTTAACATGTTCTGGATTATTTATTTTGTAATCAATATATATATATATATATATATATATATATATATATATATATATATATATATATATATACACAGACACACACATTAAAAATTACGTATAAATTTATTTGAATTCTTTACTATGTAATAAAATAAATTTATAATTAATAAAACTATAATAACTTTTTATATAATGATATGAATTAACCATTCTAACTTTTTAAGGAAAGGATAATTACTTCAGTTTTTTTTATGAATTTATATCTTAGAAGATATTACGATTATCTTTATTTAATTGTCTCTTACCCATCTTAATTTGAAGAAAAATAAAGGGAATATCTTATTCTTGTTTTTTAATTTTTAGAGATCAATACACTCAAATCAAGAATCATATCTTCAAAACTTTTCATTTTCTCTTATAATATGGCATATTCTAAATGCATGTTTCCAAAATACCTTGTTTAATTTATTCATGCTGCTTGAATTTATTTATGCCTAAAAACAAGAAAGTTTCACATGAAGTTTATATTAATATTATATAGTTAAACTCATGCAAAATGAAAATATCATAATAATTAGTGGACTACAAACGAGCTTCGATATTCAAGTTATTAAAAATTTTAAATGGGACGTTGTTATGATTGGTCAAAGATACACAACATTAGTTTCCTCATAGAAGGGAAAGAGTACTGCAGAGTTATTAAAGTCTTATTGACCAAAGATATATTAAGTCCAAAATAAATATGAGAACTAAGTAACATTAATTTTAAAAATAAAAATAATATTGTATATTAATTGAAACAAAAAAAACTAAAATCAAAATTATTAAATAATAAAACTAGATTATAAAATACACAATGAAGAACTAAGACTAAGCTTGATAGTTAAAATTTTAGTTAAAGTCTACTATAAATAATTTTTTAAAATAATTAAAGTCTCAAATGATATTAACCATAAGGTGAGTAAAAATAGAATATTAAAATTCTTAAGAATTAAATGAGAAATGAGTTAGAAAAAAAAATTTATGGTCAAAGATTATGGTAGTTTTAATTAGTAAAAAAAAAATATATATGTATTTTTTAAAAATTAACACATAACAATAACTGAATGACTGAATCACATAATCTTAGACTACATTCATGCATATTATAAATAAATTAAAATTAAAGAGTGCTGAGAAAGAAAAAATTGCATAGAGAAAGGAATCTCTTTACAGTATCTACAGACCATAGTAAATTTGCTTGTGTTGTTGCCCTTCTAACGTTGGGTTGGATCATATGATTTTGTATTAATTTCCAAATGACATTTCAGGATATGGAAATAATAAATGGAGGATTCTTTGTTTCTTTTTGCAATGTCTACTAAGTCTATGTTTCAAATTGATATTTATTTCCTCATCTACTCTTTCTTTCTTCTGTTCATCTTAGTTTCCCTTCCTCACATTCCCATATGAAAATATATTACTGCAAATCAACCACTTTTTCTACTCTTGTAGTAGTTAGTAATATAACCACCTACCTTACCAACTTAAATTATTTAATAAGAACAAAGGGATAAATATAGAAGGTAAAGGAAACAAAATTATAGAAGAAAAGTATAAAGGAATAAATAATAAAGATAAAAGAAATAAACTTTATTTAATAAAAATAAAGGCAATAAAAAAGGGGTAGATAAATAAAGGTAAAAGAAAAAAAAATAAGGCTGAATTATGAGAAGCTACCAAAGCCAAAGTATTCGGTAGCATCATTTGTCCTCCTTGTCTTACAGAGAACAGGAATAAAAGGAAAACTATAATAAAGAAAAAGAAGTAAACCAATAAAGAAAAGAGCATTGTCATACGCCTTGAAAATGTATACCAAAGAAAAAGATATATAGCGAATTAGAAAAGCAGACAGTGATGCTTTGAATCTTCTTTGAGAATAGCCTTCTATTGTCCACTTTGCTAACATTTTCTAGCTTTAAAAGTATAACTAATTCAACTTTTTTACAATGGTTAATTCAACTTTGTACAATTATAATGTAATCCAGTTTTGTATGACCTAACTTGTTTATGTAAAATAACATCTCTAATTATTAATTATTAAAAAATTATCAAAGAGGGTAAAAAGTAAAATGGAAAAGAACCCACATCTCTCTTTAGGCTTCTTCATCCCTTTCCGTAGTCAATACTGAGCCGTGAGCTAAGAATTAAAGAACCGTGTTTTCAAAGAAGCCTTGAGATCAAGTTACCTTTTAGTATTTTCTTATAGACACATTACCTTTTAATCTTTATATGATGTCGCATTATTGCTAATGTTCTATCATCCACCATAGAAAAAGTGCATAATTCGGAGGTGTCCAAAAAGCTTGTCTTAATTTTTGAGTGATTAAAGACTTTCCTCTATATAATCAGACCACAAATTTCATCAACTTCTAGACACAATGCAAAATCAACACTTGAATTAATGTGCCCCATTTATTATTTGGATTTGCATTGACTAATGTATGGTTAGGTAGGTGGGTATTTTCAGAGTTTATAAGGGGCCCATTACAATAATGTAAAGTGAAAACACAGTAGTCTTTTTGTTCACATATATGAAAGTTCTACTACCATCATACAAGAGGACCTTGCTGTGGAGTCACACCACCCTCAATAGCTTGTGTTTTCATTCCCTTGCCTCCATGGAATTGGACATTGGAGTCACTCATTCAGATCTGACTCTTGGTATATATGCTATCCTTATAAGTTGCCATTTTATTTTCAATTTATTTTTCTTGGCTTCAGTGGTTTCTAAAGATAGCTACTAGCTGCCACAACTAGTTCTACTCGTTTAAATTGTGATCATAATTTGATTATTATGCTTGTATATATGTTGTTGATGCAGTAGAGTCCTGGTTTGCATCTGACACATCTACTGGGTACCTTGAAGATGCTATAGCTGGCTGGGGTATTTGGTGCAAGCAACACAACTTACCCTCCTACTCTCAAGATCAAAGGGTTAACTGTGTATGGTTTCATGCTCTCTACTTTTGCTCATTTGTAAGTAACAAGTTTTATTGTCTCAAAATATTGTGGAATTTGATATGATATTTAATTAATTACAGAAAAGCCAATATTTGGTTGATCAGGAAGATCTATTTCCAACATTTTCTTCCACAACATCAGAAATCCTTCATGGTATGTTCTGGTATCATTTTCAATGCTACTTGATTTGATGTTTATTTGTTTATGGTTATTATTTTAGTCCAATTTTCCTTCTCTACTCCTATGCTTTTTTCCCTAGACTGTTGTTTCGCTACAGATTCTATGGCCAAAAAAAGGGGTTTAGAATTTGCAATAAATGACCAGCCTAAAACATCAATTTTTTGGCCTATAACCTTGTTACTAAATTTGGTAGCGGTGATAGTAATTGAAACATACCCACCTCTGACACTACAAATTATTGCTTTTCAGACCGTAAAAATTTCAGCACTAGGAACCTATCATCGTCACAAAATGGTACACATGCAGCTGCTGCAGCCAAGCTTGATTCTGCTCAGAGGAACTGTGCATCTAAAGAGTCAGATGAAAATGATGCTTTAGTTTTAAGTACCACATTCTTATATAACACATGAGATGTTTTCCTTGATTTAACATTTCATGCCTCTTTCTTGTTATTCCACAACCTGTATTAGTGTCTGTTTAAAAATATGTTAAAAAATCATATAAACAAGAATTTAATGTCAAAATTATTACTAATAGTATTGAAATAAACGTAAATTTATAATCATTTAAATGTAAATTCAGACTTACACTTAACAAGTTTTGATTTACATTTAAATAGTTATAAATTTATATTCATTTTAACACTATTAGTTATGACTTGTGCATTAAATTCATTTTAACATTTTGTATTCTTTTGTTTTCAAAGTAATGGTTCAGTCAAGTGTCCTTATGTTCCTTTTCATATTTCATATGGTGTTTTTATTTCTAGGGAGTCATCGGAAGAAAATAGCTCATCCATTTGAGTTGGTGAAGCCTGGAGGAGTTGAAGGGGAAACAACCCTCAAAGATATAAATCACCAAATGCTTACGAGTCCATCAAAGCGAATTCCACACCCTGTGGAAAACAATGTCACTCGTTCATGCATTTCAAACCGTGGTTTTGGCATTTCAGGTAAAGCAGTGACAGCCCTTACTAGGATTCATACCCAGGGTAGAGGCTCCATTACCATTATCAGGACCAAGGGTTGAATTCAAGAGAAAGCTCAGTACATTATGAATTTCCACCTCATAATCTCAGCAAATTTTACAACAAGGAGAGAGAAGTGTGAGATAAGACAGGTAATGTAAGATAGAGATGAAATTTTTTTTTAATGATAAAGTATTATGAGAATATGAAGTAGAAATAGTATTATCCATGTATAATATTGTCTTTGGGTTTTGTGTTATACTCCTAGTGATGGCTTGATAGTTCATACCAAATATGCAAAAATGCACTGAGGAAAGAAGGTGTTTATTGCTGTATAAATTTGAAATTTTGAATGGTGATATATTTTGATGATAGAACAGTGAATGATTAGATGTTTATAGCAATATTGAATAGGGTATTTCATATCATTGGCTGCATATTTTGATTTTTAGAGTTAGATAAAGTATCAAACAGCCAATGGATTAGGTCACGGACGAGTTGGTTATTAGTCCAATCGAATGTACAATAGCTAATAATCAGTGATAAATGTTATAAATTATTAAGCCAAATTTAAATTATCCATAAAATAATTGACTAGCAATTGGACAGACCGGTTTGATCTGGATTGAATAATTAGTCTACGATTAACATTAATTTAATCATTTAAATTTTAAAATGCCATTTTCATAAATATTTTATATGGACCACCCTGTATGTTCATAATTTTTTGGTTCAAACCTAACGTTATGATATGAACATTTTTAGTGTATAAGTTATCTCAAACTTTTGTTTAGTGTAATTTGTCTCATAATCTATATAAATGCACAATTTACCTTATTTTGCCATAATGTAATTAAAATCGATGATGGAACGTGCTAGATGACGCCGATCATAAAGTTAATAGAATAAATTATAACATTTTCATTACCAATACTATGAGATAACTTTCACTAATTAAAACTGTGCAAGATATATTAATTTAAGTTTTAGTAAATAGGTTCTAAAATTCAAAAAATATATTTTTTTAAATATTTCCCTGTAGTATAAGCATGGAAAAAGCGAGCAAATATGGTTCAACTCGACAACAAGAAACAATCAACATATTTATTTTAGTCTATTTTCATAAAATTTCTGCATCTATTTGGATGAAACATAACTAATGCAAATTTTTCTCTCTGTTCCTTAACATTGATGAATCCTTTCGCTTTGTGGAAAAATGAAACGATACAGAAAAAATGTGGGGCTTTGTGGTATGAGTGCTGAGATAACAGTACCAAAGCAGAGGCTAGGCAACTAGGCATACATCCATTTTGTAGCCTACAAGGTAAAAAGAAGAAAAATATATAATAAATGACTAGTATTATAAAAATAAGATAAAAAGAAAAAATATTATTATAATAAAAGTATATATACAGTGGATACTGTTGGGAAGGGCTCATTCGTTGCCTTATACAGACAACAAGAGATGAAAATACTTGGATCATTCCAATAGGCTCATACCATACCATGTCCGGCCCAATAATCTTGTACTGACTTATCTTTCCACAAAAAAACTTTCGTATCGATTAATTTAGCCCATCCATACTTTCGACAATAAACTCTTCTTGTTCTTGCTAGTATTCTATTTAGATGAGGAGCAGAGAAGAAAGAGATAAAAGATAAAGAAATAAAAAATAACTAAAAATAGTGAAAAATATTTGTTGTTTAGACCCATATATACTTCCAAAGGCAACCAAATTTTGGCTAAATCATTTATTCTATGTAAGCAAGTTTTTAAAAGGATATCTCATAAATGTCAAACAAATTAATGTGGGTAAGTGTATATTTACTTGGTTCTTCTAACATATGTTCAAGGAAAGAAATTTTTTATCGAAAATGAGAATATATCTGTATTATCTTAACATCATAAAAAAATATTGAATTTATATTTCTTTTATTGTAATTTAAAACATTTAATATGCTATATTTATTACTTTTTAGTACTTGCTCTTGAGTACACATTAGAAACATAAATATTTATTTAGCACTCCCACTTAAAATGTTTTGGTTCCACCTATATGCTTATCATATTTGGTAATAACTTGTCTTGCTAATTCTTAAACTGCTGATACCTTAGGTTGACTCACTTGTAATAATTTTTTGAAAATGTTTTTAGTTTTTGTCTTTCTCAAGTACAAGGTAATAATTAAAGCCTACGTTTTGTTACCTGATCACATTAAGCCAAAGTCATATAATTGCATTGAAAAATGTCATTTTAACAGTTTTGTGGACATTTTGTAAGATACGTATATATAATAATATAAATAAAATTTAAAGTAATTATATAAAATATTTTTTTGTTTATTCAAATTAAGTTAAACCCAATTACTATCACTTATAATAATTTGTTGACTTTTCAGGAAATCTTTTCAGCAAATATAAAAAGTACAATGTAGTGGTTTAGTTTTACAATGTCATAAAGAACTCATTTTGAGCAAATTAATATTAATTAATACGACTTACAAATTTTACAAATTTTCCAGTGACATGAATAAAATCCATCTATTCAACAAAGTAGGCTATAATTAATCTTAGACCTGATCTTGTTATAGTTCCAAATTAGTCACTTGACAGATACCAATGAGGAATTGAATAATATCCTTAAAGAACAAATACGCTAACAGTAAAATTGATAATTCTATTCTGTTCTTTTCCAATTGGTACAAGGCTTGGTATGGCAATTCCCAAGATCGAAGGACACAACCAAAAACATGATTGATCTTTATTTTGTGACAAAGAACGTCAAAACATCTCCTTGGCTAATCAAGGAGCTAGTTGTCGCATGGTATGGTACAAAACTCTAAGTTTTTCTCTATGGCTAGTGTACAACATGCATGAAATACAAGAATAGTACATTTTCCATGCTCCTTCCCACAACCGTGCGAAAGCTTCTACTTAATGTAGATTTCACTTCCAACAGTGCAACTCCAGCACTTGCTACTCATCATGTGGAGGCATGATTCTCTTGGAACTGTCCTGCTTGATCTGCAAGTCAAATTCTAAAATGTAGTTCTCCAAATTTCTCGTTATTATTACTACTATTCATAAGTCGTTATTCTTCATTTCTAGATAGATGAGCTCTTCTTATTCCATTTCAAAGTAATAAATTTCAAGAAAAAAAATGTTATTTAGTGGTATATTAATTCCAATCCTACGTGGCAACATTTTCCTTCTCTAAATTTCCACATATAACTACTTATTTATTTCTTGTTTCTTTAATTTCTATATATCCTCCTTTACCTTTGTGGGCAGAATGGCTTATCAAAATAAGGCATCAATTGAGCTCTTGGAACCATTTCCTTCCTTAGCAAACGAATTTCTTCCTCTTCAATCATCTGCTCCAGATTGGATTGATTAATTTAATAAATTGATGTTTTCTCAAATGTTACCATCATTCTCATAATTACAATCTATATTATCATTATTGAGTTCTTACCTTTTGCAGCTTCTCCTCTTGTTTCTTTTGCAGCTCCATGATATAGAATTTTGTTGTCACCTGAGTGCATAGATGCAAAACTACATTCAGTAATCATAGAAAGCCAATTGTTAACTTCATCACTGATGGTGCACATTATCTTACAGCATAGTTGAACATTGCACGTTTGACAGCTCTTTCTTGGGTGTGCAGTTTGAATTCTTGTGGTTTGGTATTTTCTTTGGGTGGAGACCTTCTTGAAGCCTAGAGAGAGACAACAATCACTCACCAAAATTGAAAGAAGAAATTTATATACTAATAGTATGTTTAGATTCACGATCGAATGAGCATAATTCATGTTTACGGATTTTTAATGTTTTTTTAAATATACTAATTAGTATAAATTGTACCATGTTACTCACTTTTGTCTTGTCGAAGAACTTGCTGTCTTTGAGTATATCTTTTGTCTGTTAAACATCCAATTATGTCTATTTAGGTGGCAATCATGATTCATGGATAACAAGCTAGAAGAGTTTTTAAAAAACTAATCATGAAGAGAATAATGGACAAGAATAAGGGGGAAGAGTAAAAAGCATAATAATCATAAATTACTATTATTAGCAAGAGACAAAGTACTCTCATGATAATTATGGGGCCCATTGTGTGATGATGCACTTGATCTATGAAATGGAACGGGACCGCATGGTTCATGCACCTAATCCCAGTGAAAAAGAATGGTGGTCCAATGTGTCCAAACAATTTGGAGAAATATTCTAGTGAAAAAGTAAGCATAAAAACCCTGTACAATGCGTGCATATGCCTATAATAAGTCTCTAAAGTTAGACATACTAATACACTCCGATTTTTTAAAACTAGGCGAAAAAGAGAAATTTCCTTTTTTATTTATAGAAGTAAACCGAAACATAAAGAAAGGGTTAAATGGAGAAACAAAAATAAACGATAAATATGAATTTAGAAAATATGAGTCTTGAAGGGCTATGCTTTTAACATCTTTAGCTAGGTGGATAATTCACTTAGAGCCAATGATGGTCTCTACTTTTTTTATTCGGAAAAGCTCTCATTGATTATACCATTCATACTTTTTCAATATTTTTTCGAGATATATGTGATTTATTTAATTTTGAATTCAAGAAAAGCTAGCAAGTAGAAAGGTGCATGGATAAACTTGTTGGGTGGATGGGGTAGTTAAGACAACTTTAATGATGATGTAGAAAAGGTGAAATGGGATATTCATACTTTTGACAAAAGCCATCATTAAGCCTTGCATGAATATCTAAAACTGATTTTGTGTAACTTACCATTTCATATGTGTGTGTGTGTTAGCTTAATAACAATGACACAAGGTGGTAAGCCAACTTGCTGCATCCATATACATAGGAATGTTTCTCAGAAAACGAAAAGAAAAAAAGGGTTATATCCCATCTAGTCAAGTATGCAAGAGGTGTTGCTTAAATACCGCAGTTCACTAGTCTCTTCTCTTTCACTGTAGTTAAGAAGTGATTTAGTTGTTTCATAACTTTTAACCTTAAGGTGAACAGGAAAAAAACAACTAAACAAGTGTAAGAGAAGAAGTATATTCAATGTCTTCTCTTTGTCCTACAATGATAGAATGTAAATTTTAAACCTCAAACCTTCCATGAAAGTTCAGTTTTTATGGGGCAACTAAATGTGACCATGAATCAAGGAGTGTCTGTTTAAGGCATGTGTGTGTGTGAGAGAGAGAGAGAGAGGGTAGAAAAATCTAAGCATCTCACCATTACTCTAGAATTAGTACTGCTCCATTGAGCTGCAGACTGTGAAGTGTTCTTCACAAACTTTTGCCATTGGAAAATTAAGGAAAATGCAAAAGAAGTGAAACTGTTAGGACATGTTATTCTACTGCTAAGAGGGAACATAGCAAAACAACATAAAAATAAAAAATTTAAGCACCCCAACCTTCAAAGCAGATTTAGTGCTTGCTTTCTCCATGTTTAAGTGGGATGAGTGTGTAGCCGTTATTGAGTTGAGGAGACTATATAAAGAGTGGGAAAAGATGAAGTTTGGAGGTTGGTAACTGTCTAAAAATTTTCTTTTTTGTTGCTACATCACCAACATGCTCTAGGATTTGCATGCTTTCTTGTACCAAACTTTCTGATTAAACCTCCCTCTCATTCATATATTTGTCAAACCCTACTATGTTCCTTCAAATTTCCACTTGGCTTAAGTGGGGGCTAATCCCTGGTTCACATAATTAATACTAAGTTTACTAGCGTGTCGAATTTAATCATTGGAGAACACTGATGTGGCTGTTAGTTAATTGGAAATTCGTCTACTTATTATAGTTGTTAGTGTCACTTTAATTAATTGAGTGAAGTTAACGTTCGTTTATTCAATATTAAATTGCGGGAGTTGAATAGTATTTTGGACAGAGAAAATTTACTTGTTTAAAGGATGTAAGACAATAGTTCACAAAACATAGTACATAGCATAGTCAACTTTTAAGTAAAGCAAGAAAAAATCAATTTCTGCTTTGGTCGGGCACCAAAGGGAATGCCATTTGAATTGAATTTTCATTTTAGTATGTGGATTTCAGTGTGAATGGAAAAAGTGGCCTCAACACCCCTCATTGCCCCAAAATAGAAAATGAGAGAAAGGAAAATATGAATGTATTATATGTTTTTTGTTATAAGTTCTATTAAGTTCAACTATAATTATTAAATGTATAATCTCTGATTTTCCTTATCCTGTGAAATGTCTTGCATTTTCTTCACAAGTTCAGATCCAAAGTTTTTACCACAATGTAAGCATCATTGATTGGTTGACACATGTTTATAAAGTGGAATATTTCAATTTACAGAAGTTGTATTTAATTGATCAAGGCTTACTCACATATCTAATGATACTGAATTAGTTACTAGAATTAATCTACATCTCACCCTCATACGCAATGGTGAATAAAAGCTACGGCCCAAAACAAGATAAAAGTAACTCTTACTCTAATTCATAGTATCTACAATATATGTATCCATGTTCTCGTTGGAGGTGCATTTCCTACGTTTCTTCCCCTTCGATTCCAACCCCTTGTTTACATTTGAATATAACACATTTTAATTAAGAAAAAATATTTGATTGATTCCAGCACCTTGCTTTGAGTCACTTTCATTAACGTAGCAAGAGAAGAGTAAAACGTGATGACCAAAAGGTTGTTAATAGCCCGCTTTCAAATGTTTCTTGTTGAAGCCGTCAAACCAACCAAAGACACACTCCTATGCCATCCTTTTTAGTCTATAGTAATCCAAGCACTGGCTCAGCTTCACATCAGTGCTTTGTCATTTCATCCTTAATACTATCATCAACTATTTTTCAAGAAAGCTTATAAGGGGCGGAATAAATGAAACCTCTATCTAACATTTATTTATTTATTTCTGATAAATCATGTTTGTTCATTAATCGGAGTCTTACAGTAAGGCTTTGTTTGATAAAAATAACTGAAAGCTTATACTTGATAATCTAGCTAAATATTTATAACTTTTAATTACTTAATTGAGTTATTTGGTAATTAACTGAGATAAGTTAAATGACTATAAAAAATGTTAAAGTTATTTTATGTGGGTATAAATTATTTAAAAGATTAAAGAAAAAAACAAAAAACAAAAAAAGAAACTAACTTGTAATAAGTTAAATCTTAGTTGGAGTAAAATTTTATAAGCTAAAATTCAAATATTATAAGTTTTATTATTTTTTGTTCACCAAATAATTCTATTAGTTTAACGGGAAAAAAATTATAAACTCTTAAATAAACTTGTATTATGAAACACATTAAACGAGAAACTTTTTTCATCCTAAAATTCATGGTAGTTACAGAAAAATTCGTAGTAGCATTTGTTGATTTTTAATCTAAACATCATTTGAGTTTCGTAAATTAGTCTGCACGTTGTAATCACACATAAAAGGAGTCTTGGGGGGGGGGGGGGGGGAGCATTGACAACATTATGGTTTTCAAATGATTTTTTCTTATTGTTTCATCTATTATAATTGCAGTTGCCATTTTTGAAGTTTAAAGAATGATAAGTTATGCTAAGAGAAATTCCTACTTATAGACAAGTTATTAAATGCACTGATTAACAAGAATTTGTACTTCGAAAGTAGAAAACTAATCAGATGCTTTAAAGTGACAAGGAGACAATAGTTCATTATTTATATTTGTTGAAAATTAATGTTACATTCTGCAGTATTATGTTGTCGCTGGTTATTTAACGTACAGATAACTTGAGTTACACTCTATTTCTTCTTAATCAAAATTAGTTAATCCTCGTCTTATTCAGATTCAATGAACAATGTGTCAATCCATGTGCTCTATTTTTTATAATTAATGTTTTTATTCTCCAAAATTCCGAATCAATAATCTTTCATTCGGTACAACACCCATCATGGATCAACATTCAGAAATTGCATTGCCAGTCTTTTCAAATCCAGTTATGCTTTATAATGCTTTGTCCCGAATCTAAGTTTTGTATTTCTATTTCTTTTTTCGAATACTACACAGTTACGCATCACCGAAAATAAAATTTATATATATATATAAGATGTTATTCGTTAGATTTGTCCTTATTAATATAATTTTTGTTTAAGACATCTTGAACTTTTGTATAAATGGACACTTTCAGTGACACACCAACGGTAAACATTAAATTTGTTATACTAACCAAATTATCCTTTAATTATATTTATTCACTATACTCTACAATGTTATTGGTGAATGGTACTCAAATATATGAGTATATTCTTGAAAATATGGAGGATAAATTTGTAAAAGACAATTTTGTATAGAAAAATAATGTATATAATCTATAGATTATGCCAATAGTATAGATTTATAATATCTTTTTTTTTTTGCTATACAGATTTATAATATCTAAACTAATGGATCAAGCGAGCAAAGCTAATTAGTAACTTTTCAGTTTTGCAACCAAATGGAGATTTATTAATATTCATAAATTATATTTTATTTACATTCGAAAAGTTATTTTATTTTATCAATCAAATAAAGCTATTTTTTATTAACTTATTTTTAAAATGTCTTATCTGAATATAAGAAATTTTTAAAATAATCATTTTACCACAAGTATTTATTATAAAATTAATTATACTAAATTTATATATAAAAAAAAACCGATTATAATATTTTTTTCGCATGTACAGTGCTTACATTCCTTCTTTACATTTGAAGTTGAAGGTTTATCTGATTGCTCTGGCACAGTTGGACTGAGTCATTTTCATTTCCATTGGAAGAGAAAGACATTTAAGAAAGCCAAAAAAAGAATGGGCAAAAGGTTGTTCATAGCAAGTTTTCAAATGTTTCTTCTTGAAGCCGTTAAGCCAAAGACACAGTGCCGAATTGATTTAGGCATTGTGAAGGGTAAGCAAAATGTCATCCAATTCGTTAGGTTGTGAATCGAAAATCAACCTACTATAAGGCACCACATAATGCTTGCACTTGAAGCTTGTGGGGTATCTATCCCATGATAAAGCCTTCAACAAGACTTTAACAAATTAATGCACCTCTCTCTTTTCAATTTGACATTGGAAATGACACCATTTTAACTGAACATGACCACAAAGTCTCAACTAACACTCTTAGTATCACAGTTTCAGTCAGCAATTCCATTCCTCTTTTCATTAATTAATGAGAATCAGCACTTAGGGTTTTCTTGTACATTACAATACATCTTCGGCTTGTTGGTTTCTCACAGGTTGTGTCATATAATATGAAGAATGAAAATTAATAGTTAAACAACATAATAATTGAGTAAACTCCACTCTTAATTCTAATTTTATAAAAAAAATCTTTTAATTTTTTTTAAGGTCATTTTACATTAAATTAGACTAAGATAAGTGACTTTTTTAGAGTTGAAATTGTAGTAAAAAATTTATAAAATCAAGAATTAAAGACACTTATGCCTTTATTTTTAAAAACTAAAATAGATAGTGATTCAATAATAAACTTGAAAATGTATTTAAAAGATTTATTTACTTTTATTATTAAAAATTACATAATATTATTGTTTTGCTGTGACACGCAAATGTCACTAAACTTGTTTATAAAGATGTATTAATTGTAAAATTTTATTTATTCTTTTATTATATATTACATAAGTAGACTGTATTACTATTTTATAGTCATCACTATTATTGTTATATTATTATTATTATCGTATAATGATTTTGTTATCACTAATTGTTTTGTAATTATTATGATAAAAAAAGATTAATAAAAAAAAGTAGTCATTTCCAAAATGGATAGGTAGTAATTAACTCATGAAAGAAAGAGAATAATCAGGCATTGAACCACGAAACTAGCAGTATATGAAAAAAATTCTATATTTTAAAATTATGAAAAATAGAATAAAATTAAAGTTCAGCTTCTATAAACATACTCAATATCACTTTGTTTTTTATATAGATTAATTTTATTCATTTGATACTTTAAAATTGAAAATTTTTATATTTTATTTTCTCCATTTAAATAATAAAAATGAATATTTTGAAAACTATATTGATGGATAAAATAAAATAATCGAAATTTCAAGAATTATATAAAGTTGTCAAACTTTAATAAATCAACTTTGAGATATAGATGATAATATGGGTGGGTAAGGGTGGGTATTGCGTATCGCCACCCTGGCCCCTAAGCCAACCTCCCTATATCCGTGTCTAACTTGAGGATTAAAATTTGATACTCAATCTTGTCCTTAATCAAGATTAGAAAAAAAAAAGCATGCCCCCATCTCACCTTTTTTTTTTCTTTTCCAATTGCATATTTTTAAATCAAATAATTTATAAAGATGATTAAAAACGATTAAGAAAGTATTAAAAACCAAACACATTTTTTATTTAAACGGGTAAAATAAAGTTAAAAATTTACTTTTTTGATAAACAACTCAACTTTATAATTTAATTATTACCAAACGATTTGAATTCGGATTTGAGGTTGGATATCTACATTCCCAAGCTCACTCCATTATTTGCATATTGATGAAAATCTAATCCTTACTCCAAACTCAATCAAATCTTGTTTTTCTTTTTCCCATCAAAGTTAGAATGTCGCAGATCGAATATTTGTGGGCACCGATTTTTTGTCACGCCGAATTCGAGAATTTCAACTTAGAAGGATAAACTAAAATGGAATATTTTCATGGATTAAAATAAATCTTTTAAAAGAAATGATATCAGTTAAAGGAGTAGAGCTTAAAGCAGATATTTTATGTATTTAAATTAACTTACTTTGTATTAAAAAACATATAACCAAAATTTTGATAGAATTGAAAGAAAAAAAATCAAAATAGTATTGAAAAAAACACCATGGGTACAAATCTTATGAATGATCTTTTGTTAGTACGACTTTCAATAAATCTTAAAAGCTAAATAATTCATCAAAATTGCAAATTTCAAGAGGTGAATCAAATCTCTGCGGCATTAACAACTTAGAAACCTTGGAAAAGCAGCATAATTCAAAATGTCATGTCATAGTGCCTGGAACCTTCAAAACCCGATCACAAGGATTTTCTAATGGTTCAACTGAAAATATTCAAGAACTTGGCAAACATATCGAAGAGGCAACCATGTCTTTATATGTGTGTGAAACAAATTAGAAAATGAATTTTAGTCCTTTATGTCAGCCACCATAAGTAACCACAACTTGAGCTTCATGGATGTGCCATGCATCACTGCCTTTCAAATTGATGGGAGCTTGTTATTTGAATCTCATGTGAACATTCAAGTTGGTCTTATTCCTCAGAAACCTTGAAGAAGGTGTATGATAATATTATGTTATTGATACCATCCATTCTAGGATCTGTCTCAAATTCCGGGTCTATATAAAAGAATACCTACAGTACAAGAAACATACTATTTAGATGAACATGCGTTATGCCCATACCGGAATTCAGTTTGAAACCACTTACAGGCATGTCAATCTGCTCCCCAGGAAGAAGTCGCTGCTCCTCAAAGCAGAAGCATTGTATTTTATTGAAGTACACTGCAGCCTGTAAAAGAATATTTATAATTTGGATTTTTGAATATTTTGGGTAGTAGGGAGGGGACAATAGGGAAGAAATAAAAAATATGCTTCAAAGCCAGCTCTTTGTTAAGCAGAAAACAGATCTTGAAAGCCTTGCGACAGGCAGGCACAAAGAGATATTAAATTCTTAGCCAGAAGGAAAGGTTTTAAATAAATTGATTTTGTATAGGATATACTTTCAACAGTCTCAGGTTTGTAGTGTCATTGACAACCTTTGTTATACAACAGAAAGGAGTATTCATCAGTAGTCATTACCTTCATAGGAGTGACGTTATATGTAGAAACACCTATTATTGGAGTAGAACTTTTGTTTTCAGCAGTATAAAATGCGAGGGCACTTTCCCCAGGCTTCACCCTAACCTGGTAGATGGTAGAATAAACGAATGATCATACATTACAGCTTTTACTTTTTCTTTCTCATTTTCCCCCTGGGTGCCAGGGGATGCGTACAATACTACAAAATCCAGCATTTGTAATGACATATGAAACATTTGCAAGCCAGCAGAAGGGCTCAAATGCACAGTCAAATGTGCAGCATAAACTAGCATGCAAGTGATGCAACTAGATTTAGATTTGAAAAATACCATCAGCTCCCCCAAAAATTAAAACCATTACGACCACACTTTTTAAACAGAAGCTCATACATTAACATGGCTTTTAGTAGTTCTCTTTGAGTCGCCATGCTACATTACCATGGACTAATATAAATAGCATTAATGGATCCAGGAAATAAAATTAAAAATTGTCTTAAATAATAATTTCACATGTATGTTTATAAATAAATGTGCCATATTTGTTGTAAAGTGCAGGATGTTAAGTAAAGAAAAACCTCTCTCTGTGTAGGAACAAACTTCCATGGCATCCCATCAGCAATATCAGCATTGAACTGCACCACAATTTCCCTGCAAAAATAAAAAAGGAAACTCATCAACCCATAACAACTGCAAAAAAAAAAAACTAGCTTCCAAAACACGACATCCTCAATGAGATTTATCAAACACTACCCTGTAAACATACTCTTACTGAATCACTACTTAATAGCCACACGACAGCCCAAAAGTAAGGTCCTACTGTTGATAAGAAAAATATCCTTGAAGGTTCAGAATAGGTAAGTTTTATGAAGTAAAATCCTATCCAAGTGCATAATAAACAAACAAAAAAGACTATGTTTTAAGGTTAATCTCCCTTAGTTTTTTTAATCAAGACTACTTTATACAAATGCTCAGTACAAATGAAGGAATACAAACAAGCCCAAAGAATTTGAATCACCAAACTGAGATCAGGGAAGTTATTTTTTTCAAATACTGGGGAATTGAACATCTATTGCAAATAAACATACAGTCATCAACCTGAAAAACAAAATAATAATCCTATCACAACTAATGTTAAAAACTTAAAAGGTAACATCTAATAAGAAAATATAACACCTTGTGGTGACAGTTTTATTGCTATCATGTCGAGCAATCTTTTCTTCAACAGTCTGAAAAAATTTGAAAATTTTTATCAACAGATAAAACAAGTAAAATTTCCAATCCAGTGGATGAGAACATGAAAAACCACTGAAAACAAACTCAAACACACCTCACGCCGGTTAACAGTTCCCCCATAGCCAGTTGCTTGGCAGAATCTCCTGTAAAGGGGAACTGCAGCATATGTGCTTCCAACCATTGCAAAAACCAAGCCCGTCAAGTATAAAAGCATCTTTCGTGATTTCCGTTCTTTGGATGCATGAGATGAGAAGTGTCGAAAACCAGGCGTGGAACATGACTTACCAACATACTGTGATGCAAAAGCTGAAGAGAGGTAACACGGATGGAAGGATTTTAAACTCAATTCTTGCTTAAACTTTGATAACCATATATTACAAGAGAAATTACGCTGGAAGCTGGTATTAGGATTAATGAACTTGAAACTTGATCCTTCAGGAATAATAGATAGACACCTGAATCAAAAAAAAAAAATTATCTACAAATAAAACTCATTAAATTTGAAGCAAATTTCTTTCAGATATTCTTTCAAAGCCAGACTACAGAAAGGGTATCTCTGCACATATGTCTACCTCTATGATTAGAAGGAATCACAAAATCTCTGCTCAAGTGGTAAAGTATAATTACAATCATTTTATCACAAATATGTTTCAGAGCATTCCCTATAAGAGAATTCATCAATAACCTACTAAGACTAAAAAACAAAAGCTTAAGAATGAATGCAGCAACAAGTTACCTGGATTCAAGAAAGTCCTTCTGCAAGGCCCTAAGGTATGGCGACAGATGAGCTCTCCTACTAAACCTTGACAATATCATGTTTAGCAAGACCAATTTCCCAACAATAACAGGACATTCAGTGCTGTCCGCAAGAAAAGAAAATAAGAATAAACTCTGTGAAGCAGTGTTTAGAAATGTTCAAGTGCTACAAAATTGATAACAGAGGAAAATAAGTATTTTTGAAAATAAATTTATATGTGAAGTTTGAACAAGCACCAAAATACATTGAATGAATAATTTTCAATGGAAATAGGAACTAGGAAAAGAATAAAAACGTGACAACATTAATCAATACGCACAAACACAAAATGGAACCTTAATGCTCTGAAACAGTACTCCGTGCCAACATCAAGTAGAAATTTTATAGAATTTTTTTCCTAAAATAGTAGCTCTATTAAAAAAACTTCCCAATATAAACTAACTGAGAATGAAGCTTTCATCACATACACTTGTGGCCATAGAAAACCAACCAACCATTCTTGTTTCTTAACATTGAATAATTATAATAATAACGATAATAACCAGAGCCATTCAATACTATCATTTAAGTGAGGCATTTCATCGAACAACCTGAGTACATCATAAAATGATTCCATTGGAAGCCATAATCCCACAAACGCCAAATGATGTGTGAAGACAATCTACATATTTCACCAACCAAATCAAGCATCAAGATAGAAGATAAAAATTGGAAAAACGTGGTAAAATGAAAGAGAGAGTGTTTCACCGAAATTGTTGAAGTTGATTAAGAGGGGGGGGGGGACGCTTTCTCAACACAAATCACCAATCACGGTTGCTGCTGCGAATTCGAAGCTCCACACTTTGGCGTCCTAAAGATTCAATAAACTTATCTTCTTCACTTTAATTGGGTTAGGAGAGTTTTTTTTTTTCGTTCAAATATATGTATAATCGTTCACATGAAAAAAAAACAGAAAATTTGGATTGAATATTCCTTCACTTTATTTAAATAAAATTAAAACAATTTAATATTTCACAAACATTTTAGGTTAACTTATCTTAAAAAAAAATCTTAAAGATGATTTACTTACCATAAATAAAATATAAGCCAAAATATGCTTTTTCATATTTTATTATTGTTTGGAAAGGAAAACTTTAAATGAAAGAAGATGACAATATATATATACAAACACATTAAATAAATATATAAATGATAAGTTAATACGAACATAACATATTAATTATTTAATATTCATAAATATTATTTAATTTTATTAATTTTAAAATAAAAAATTGCATTTCACTCCCTTCCTCTTTAAAAATTTCTTCCCAACTCCATAAGTTAATATGTTTTTAATTTTTGGAAATTGGAATAACAAAAAAAAGTAAATTTTATAAACCTTTGCAAACCACCATTTTTTAAAACTATACATTAAATGTTTTTAAATCGAGAAGAGATTTAAAAACTTGCTAGTTAAATATTCTTTTTTAATCATTAAGTATCATTCATAAAAGATAATTTTATACAAGTCAGAAACATTTATAGTATAGTGGTGCTAACTCTCTCAGTGAATTTTTTTACCCATTTAAAATTCAAATTTGACGCCTTAGCTTAAACATACATCACTAAACTAATTATCTGTTAGTTAAGTTGAGTTAGATACTATAGTCTTTTATTAACTTATTAACCTTTTATCCATTAAGTACTTACATCTCTCTTAAGAGTAGAAAATTTATAATATTTAATAGGAAAAAAAAAGCATGTGATTTTTAATTCGGTCAATTGAATAAGAAAAAATGGCACTTGAGAAATAAAAAACTAACCAAAAAAAAAGTATGGGGGGGAAAAATCAGAATACAACTTTTAACATTGAAAGACTAAAAATATTATAATATTTTGATAATTTAAAATATATTTAAGCCTTTTGTCTTTCTATTTTTTTTGTTTTCCTCTTTATAATAAATATTTAAGCTTTTAATATATTATTGAAACTTAATTTATCATCTTTGAATATCCTTTTCAACATTTTCCTTCAAATCTTTTTTTATTGAATTTTTTTCCCTCTCGTTGCTTTCCTTTTTCCTAATATTTTGCTTATTCTTCGCACTACCTTTTTCTCAATTCTATTCGTTCTCAACCCTTTCTCTCTGTCTACTTCCAAGTCTCTTATATTCATGGAGCCTACAACCTTTTTTTTTTTTCCCTTAATGAAGCAGCTAGCCCAAATCCAACACGAAAGTTCATTTCTAATCGTTCAACTCACTATTTGTTTGGCCCATAAAAGGTATGAAGTGATCATATGGCACATTATTGTTGACCAAAATACAATACAAATTGATATGTCCAGTTTATGAATTTTTTTGGGCCAGGCAACTGATAGCTAGTTGACCAAAAGAGAGAGAGAGAGAGTAACTAATATTTAGTTTGCAGGGTATTTGAGCAAGAGAAAAATATCAAAATTGAAATTAATATTACACGTAAATTTAATTTAAACAAAAAAAGTGACAATGTTAGTACAAAAGGATATACTTTAAAGCTTTTAGTTTCTTAGGATATATTTTTTATGTTATCTTATATATTTTCATTTTTACCACTAAGGTTCAATGGGTGACTCGACAAGGTAGCGGCCCATCACACATTTTTAGTTTATTTAAACACCATTATCTATACTTTTCGTTTTATACTTTAATTCATATATAATTTTAGTTTTTATAATTTTAATTAGTTATATTCAATCTTTTAGCTTTTAATTATTGAAATTATGTATTTCAGTTTTGTTTCGCCCAATAACTAATGAGAATGTAATGAAAGTGTGACGAAACATTGATTTATACAGATGAACAAAGAAAAAAAAACCTATATAGATATCTAAATAAAAATAACAGACAATGCCCAAAAATAGCAATTTGAATTAATTTTTGCTTTTCTATTTTATTTAAATATTATATATATTTTTATTAATTTATGGAGGCCACATGACTCAGGAAATATCTTCAGAATCCAATTAATTCGAGATAGTTGGATAGAGGACCTGGTTAAAGTCTTACAGGTGACCTATACTTCAATGGGCTTAGTAGTTAATATAGCAGGCTTAAGTAATAAATTTAATTGTTGATAAAAAAAAAAACTTAATTTCATAAATGTCTAAGTGTTTTAACTATATAAGGTTGCTATGTTTATCGATTTTTTCGTTTATAAGTTATGGTTGATAAACTGAATTAGTTCGAGCTTTTTGCAGTTAATTTTGATTTTCCTTCCAAACCTTAAATTTAAGAGAATTGGTGTTTAAGATCTTATTATATTTACATGTGTGTGATTAATCTATTTAACAAAAAGTTATGTGGTTGAATATTTTTGTGTGTAAACTTCTTTTAGGTCACTGTTAGTCATGAACTATAAACGAAAATTAATCTTAGCCCTTTTAAACTTGGAGAAACCATATTTGGTCTTTGACCTTTTTTTCAAAAATTATTTGCAATTGAATTATTCCAAGCCATGATTATGGAACTGAGACACACACTGAAAAGAAATGCATATACAAAGTCTTAGATTCCTAAAAGAAAACAAAACAAAGAGAGAGAGAGAGAAATTATGAAGGTGAGAAGGACTGATCAGGTTGATTCCTTATGAGCCCAAACCCTACCTATAGTTATAGGCTTCTGTAGAGGACCATTTATTCTAGTACAGTCTAGACCCTATAACCCCATATTAAAACAAATATATATAACAGACTTGAGTTAATTGCTTTATGCCTTATTCCATTCTCTGATCTATTTGATGCATTGTAGTCTCTTCCTATACCTAACGTAGTAGACATTGTTCACTGTTGATCTTAAATTTTCCAACAACTTGAATGTGAAGACACTATGTTCACATAAGCATTTTAGAGATATACCCTTAATTGGTATATACTATTACCAAGGACAAATCTCACTCTATTTAAGATGAACCTGCAATATAGATAAAAAGTAATAGAGACTGACGAATAACCTTGATGGCTCAAGAGCTTCTAGGAGAGTTCTAAGTCCGTTATTACTGTTGGATCTCGGTCCAACAAAAGAATTGGACCACCCCATCTTGGTCCCCATTATTATTATGGTTTAAGATCAGGTTGAAAAGAAAGAGCATGCATCTTTTTCATTTGAATAATTTATTATTACTATTTAAAATTGGTCAGCTTTAGTGGGTTGTAATTAGTATACCAAAAAGGACCACAGAAAGGTCCATCATGGAAAATATTTCAATTTAGATTAGCCAAAGTAATTTGGGGACATATCACAAGGAATATATGATAACCCAATTGCAATGCATTAAAGCAAAAAGACAAAGACTTGGGATAGCAATCAAACCCAAGTTCCAAGAGAAGACCTACTATGGTCTCAACCTTAATGCATGGCAGATCTAAACAAGTAACCTTTTGTTTCATATTGTAACTCGTCCCACCCACCTTCACGACATATCCAACATAACTGAACTGGACTTCATTTTTCCCATTATGGTACCCAACATAAAAGAAAATAAAGAAAGCATGGCTTTTGACTGTACTTATAAAACTGTATCCAAAGTTAACTTTATATAGGCCTGCTTCAAATTAACTCTAAATGCATGGTGATTAAATAAGAGGAATTGTTCCCTATTTATGGTTGACTGCCAGCGACATTGCATAACAACACCTTATTTTCTGGACAGAAAAAACATGCTTTGGCAATCCCATTTCTGTTAATGACAAAATTTTCAAACCAATATAAGGCATAGAGCAGACCAAGATTTGCCAGAGCTACCACCTCTCTTCCCAACTTTGGCCCATATATATAGAACCTGTCTCACAAATAATAATAATGATTCCTGCATACCATAATGTATCAATTAAGTCATTAGCTACAGAGCAAAGTTATAACATTTTGCTTCAATTTTTATTTTTTATGATGTGCAAATAATTATGTGAGAGGCTTGGCTCCTAGCCTCTTTAAGAGTGGGATAGCAAATTCCCAACTGTGGGAAGACCACAAAATATGAAATGCAACTTAAACTTCTCAATACCTTGGTCAGTGTGATCTGAGAAAAAAACAAACAAGAAGGTGAAATATAATACAATGGGCTGGGGGGGTATCATATCTATACATGCTACTCTAATTAAATATCATCCTTCATTAATACATGAAAAAAAAAATTACAAACCAATTTTAAAACATTAAGAAAAGAGAGTTTGAGGGCATACATATTTTATAGGTTCTATATTTTATATACATTAAACGTGAATATAAAGAGCAGAAAAGATGAAAAGATAGGATGGTAGTAATATAAAAGAAGAGGGGCCAATATATACGGTACAAAGTTACAAACAGTTGGACATTACAGAAACAGAGCGCGCTTTAAATGCGGGGCAGACAATAGAGTCAGCGACTTTCGTGAAGGACATTGTCAGCATCGCTTCTCAGGGCCCTTAACAAGCCATGATGTGAAAGCTCACACTCTCTCTCTCTCTCTCTCTCTCACACACACACACACACACACACGCATGCACATCAACACACACTTGTGTGTTCTCAGTTTTCACTGCCATATCATATCCCTCAGTGTGTAATATATAATTTTATAATGAGAAATTGAGGTCCAAAAAATAAAAAAATGAAATCTAATTAGAAATATAGAAAGCACACAAATGTGTCCTTTAGCGGCATAGTACAAAGTGTACCTCATTAAACAAGCCAACTACACCATGCATGGCCTGCATTGTTGATCATATAGTCATCATAACCTCATAATTAATTGCTCCCTTCTCTGATCACTTTTCCTCATATGTCAGAGTTGAAAAAGTGAAAGTTAAAAGTAAAGAACTTTGGATTAAAAAAATAACTTTTTTATATACTATAATTTATTTTTGCCTTTCTCTCTCTATCTCACTGTCAAT